CTATCATACCCAAATACCACTCCTTTTCCAACAGTAGCATCCAAATGCAAAATTGGAAGAGGTTCAAGTCTCAAAACAGATTTTTTAGCAATAGGATCTTTTTCAGCTTCACCCACTGTTTTCTTCACTCTTGCCATCTTTATGGAAATGTCTTCTCCATTAACCATCATAAGGTATTGTCTCATACCTTCTAGGACTTCAGCTGCTATTCTCGGCCTACCCGTAGAAACATCAACACCTACTTGGTCTTCTCTCAAGACACCAAATAGAGGATCTGATTCTTTCAGGACTGGAGGCTTCTTTATCTTCTCCACAGGTTTACCCATTCTTCTAGCTGCTGCTGCATCTTGACCTCTTTTTAGAAAAAAAGGACAAGCTTCTCTTTCATGAGTTAACCTTTGACATTCGTAACACCTCTTTTGTACTCTTTCATATTCAAAACGCACCACTGTGGTCCCTTCTTTCATGTTTATCACTTTGGATCTTCGTAAAGGTCTGGAAATATCGAAAAGAACTTTCACTCTGACGAACTCTAGAACTTGAGGCACATCCGGATCAAAGGCAACCTCTGTAACCTGACCGATTAACTCTCCAAGTGAAGAAATAGCCAGGAAGGTGTAGTGGTTGATTGGGATGTTCCAAATCTGAACCCAAATGGGCATGAACATCAAGTAATTTTCTGGTGGATACTCATACCACCTATCCACCACAATCGACCACTCATTGTAAGTATGAGCACCTTTATTGAGCACATCTAGGAGATCAAACTCACAGTTGAAGATAAACTGAAATTTTTCACTAGTAAGCGCCACTCCTCTAACTTTTCCCAACTTTTGCCACTTTCTTGGCATGTCTCTAATGAGATGCTTCATCACTTGACATTCAGGATTCAGAAGTCTTCCTACCAGACTTAGGACATTTCTCTCACACGACGAGAACTCCGGCAGATCCGGCATCTCAAAGGGGATTTCTTCTTCCTCTTCTTCTTCCAACGACATTGCCAACATGGCCTTATCCATAGCTGCAGACATACTTTGATTTCTCAGAAGAAACTCAAACCACCGCACCGAGAAAACAAGAACGAAAACGAACGGCAACACAAACAAGCTAACAACCACTTCGAACTGCAACACAATCAAGCTTACAACACCACCTAGAACAGAACCAACTTCCAGCGAAAAACCAAGAAATTTTGAAGAACTCTCAAGAACAAACAAAGAAAACAAGGACGATTAGATCTAATTTTATGTTACGGCTGCGCAAACAGGACAAACTCACAAACGAAACACTTGTTTTTTCCACAAAAGCTCTCGTCTCACCCTAATAAGAGACACTAGTTGAAATAGAAGGTCCTAAGCCCACAAAAGGGAATCAATTTTGTTTTTTACGCACTTTTTTCTATTGCATAGTCCAAATCCTTCCTGAATCCGGTTCTATTATGTATCATTTAAAGTTTTGTAGGTAAAAAAAAACAAAAAAAAAAAGTTTTGTAGGTCAATTTTTTTTATTTTTTTTTATTATTTTTTTTTTATTTATTTTTTTTTATTATTATTATTATTTTTTTTTTGTAGGTCAATTTAGCCATACCAGAACATTGAATCTGCTTTATTTTGTTTTATTTTCCATCTGTCACTTACTACAGCGACTAACAATTAGCGACCAAATCTTAATTTGTTTCATAATCGTTGATTTAATGACATGTTTTGGCGATAGCAACAGACTTCAACAACTATATCGAGTTTGTTATGTAGTTGGTACTTGGTAGTATCATCGGAAATCAGCTCCATCAATTTAGAAAATTTATAAAGGTATCTTAACAATATAATATCTTTAACATAATTGAATTATAGAATTAAATTGGAGCTGTTAAAATACTTCAATCAATCATATTTGAACAAGTGGCAATCGAATTTTGTTAAAAAAGATCTAGCTAGAATGAGAACCGATTGTGACTCTCTCTTCTACTTTTATTATTTTTCCTACTTTTAATGTTAAGATACCCTCTTAGAAACTGTCGATGAAACTACTCTCAGAACTACAAAAGAAACAAAATGTAGTCATTATCGTTGGGCAACCGCTCAAGAACAATAAAGTTTATTACAAATTGATTATGCTAATCATTATTGTTAGCAAGAAACGAATATGTCAATCTTATGGCATTGGAATATGGGTTCAATATGTTTTTGACTGGTTGAAAAATCACAATAAATTGGAGCAAAACTTTAATGTTGACAAAAGAAATTGGTTAGTTTTTTTCTTTTTTGTAGAATAAAAAAGTAAAATTAAAATAGGTGTTAGCTCATGCTCATGCATGCGTCGTTTTTACTAGTTTCAAAATTTTGGTCATCGATCAAAATAGGGAATTAATATTATTATCAGACTATATAATACTAATAATTGGATTCTCGAACATGGTGTAGTAGAATCTTATGCAAATGACACTGTAGAGAAATTGTGAGCCAACCATTTAACTTTCGAAGGGTATATGGAATTAAACTACAGATGATCGATGGGATTGGGACTTTCATAATGTGGAATGTGACACAAACATAATTAAGACTTTCTCCATGTGGAATGTATCGAGAAGCCTCCAAGCCGACTTTTATGATCATCTATACTCCCTCCGTTATTTTATAAGTGATGTTTTAAGTTTCTAATTTTGTTCTTAAATAAATGATGTTTTCAATTTTCAATACAAAATTAATTACATTAATTATGACACAAACATAATTAATGATGTTTTAGTTTAGAAACAAAATAAAAAATGATTTTTTAATTTATGTGCATTTTCTAAAACATCACTTATAAAAGAACGGAGGGAGTAATATAATTCTCCTTTTTTTTTTTTTTTAAGTCTTTGGCTCTACTTGATTATATTGTCTCACAATTGAAGGGAATGAATAGATAATTATTGCATCAACATGTAAAAACAATTAAAGTTATCCATAATTCCCTAGCAAAATGTCTAGATTTTTGTAAATTACACGTATTTAGAATTTTCTACTAATGCATAAACATTTTGGCTTTGAATGTCTATTTAAAAAAAAGAAAAAAAACTAAGATCTTATCCAATCATAGCTTTATTAGTTTGTAGGTTCTCGACAATAATGGAAAAAAAAAAACATTTAATTTATAGCTTTAGTTTTGGACTTTTAGGGTTTAAGATTTTGTATAAGTAGTTTATTTATGTTTAGGATTTTAGTCAGTTTATCAATGATCAATGATGTAGAGTTTTACGTCTCTTCTCCCTTGTTTACTGTAGATTTACAGAAATCACAACAGTTATAAGAAAACTTGGTTTTATTCGAAAATTCTGAAATCAAACACATAACCTTACAATTTATTAGTTTCTGAGTATTTTTAATTAACGGGATCATTAGTCTATTCCTAATATTTTGGTCTTTGCTAGTTTGTAACAAGTTTTGACCTTTTAGATTTCTATTTAATTTTTGAAAATAAATTAAGAAGTTTTATTTTTGAAATAAGTTTTAAATTAATTTTGAGAAAAAATAAGGGTAAAGTTGATTTTGATTTTTAAAAAACCTATTTGACCAATCTTTCAATATAGGGAATATTTGGACAAAACTTTTGGTAGATATCCTATATATCTAATTTCCCCCAAAATTATAAATCATGTGTTCGATTATATTTGTGTCTACATTTAGATATAATTTTAGCTAAATCGAATTTCTGTATTGATATTAAAAAAAGCATTTCGAATACATTGTCAATTGATTGATGATCTCATAGGGATATGACAAAACAGAGAATTTGAGAAAATTGTTGCCAAAAGGAGTTTCGAAGAATAAAAAAATGAGTGATTGGGCTTCTATGTCTTTATTCCATTTTGGGTGGGTATCTTTAAGTAAAGATTTGATCATCTTCTTCTTCGTCGTTTTCTCTATTTTTTTTTCTTCTTGGCATTACAAAGACCCTAGCCGCATAATTATACTATCTTCTTTTATAAATACCTTTACTCATCTTTATTCTAAAATTCAAAAATTTCAAAGTTGGCACTTACAAAAATTTCAAAGTTGAGTAAAATTAACTCGTTTGATTTATAAGAAAAAAGTTGACACATATTTTTATTTTTGTGTTTTACCCTTCATGAAGTGATATCTTTGCGAATTGTAGCAATAGGTCGAGTTTGGCTGAATGAAGTCTAGCAATGAGTTGCTTCCAAATAGTATATTTGCATCAACTAGTTTGAGGACGAGCTTACACAGTGTAGCAATTTGCGGAAAAATAGTAGTCCGAATGTTGAAGTGGATATCCGCTAGATCTTTGTATTGCATGCGGTTCAACATAGGAGTAGTAGAGAATCTAGATAAAGAGTTGATCAAACATTTAATCCCCAAATGTGAAGTATTTTCTTAGCATGCAATCTTAATTTCACAACAATCCAGCTTACAAAGGAGTGTTAATCTCTATGTTGCATGGAAACGGAAATGAAACGTTTTGAATACGAGAAACGATTTTTCTAAATTAGGGATTGGAAACATTTTGGAAACATAAATATATATATATATATATATATATATAACAAACATAAAACGAGATTAAAGAAAAAAGAATTAAAAAATACAAATCCAAAACATAAATATTAAATAGTTTAACTAAAATTCTAAAAGATAAAGATTAAAAGGCTCAAGTTCAAATATTATACCAGCATTTTCATCCTCATTTCATTCGCATTTTCATTAGTTTAATCAAAGATCATATAAAGTTTCTGGTTCGTCGAGAGAAAGATCTTAAAACTCGAATCTCCCAAAATTAATTAAATGTATTACAAATCTTAATATTTCTGAATTCTTTATTTATTAAGCATCCAAAATAAAATAACTTTTTTTTCTTGCTTTTCCAAAACGGAAACGTGATTTTGTGTCTTGTTTCCAAAAATAAATTATTAAGAAATTTGTTTCTTATTTCTGAAAGTTTTTGCCTCCAAAACGTTTCGGAAACAGGAAACGGATTTTGGAGAAAGTTTCTATGCAATATAGGTTAATCCGAGCCCAACATGTTGCTTGGATGTTTAATAGTATGTTTAGTCGGTTGCATAGATCGTCGAAACGACTTTTCCATCTGGCTTAGTTCTATAAAAGGAATTGTGGCAAAGAAAAGCGTCTAGAGACTTTTATGCTTTTGATAATTAATAATCAAGTTTGAGCTTAAAAGGATGCACTATTAAGGTTTTCTTGTTGTGATTGATTTTTGGAAGTTCCATTCTCAATACATGGTACTCACTTTGCTGAAAATTGTCATTTGTAATGACCGTTATTAGAAGAATAAAATCCTTTGTTTCTAGACGGCTCTCTTTGAAATGATTTGCCATCAAATATATAATGCATGCGAGTGTGACCTCATCACATTTTATATCAAAGATATCTTGTACACATATCTCTTTACACGTAGTTCTGACCTCTTCTTTTTTTTTTTTCCCAAAGAGGTAAACCAAATCTTGCAAAATAGCTCCAAAAAGTTCACCTATTTTTTTCTTTTTTATTAAAAATGATATATTTTAAAATCCGTATATACCAAAGGAACCCAATTAATTACAATATTATTCCAAACTTGTTGAAACAAAAAGAAGATCACTACAACAGGAGCATACAACTTATCTCGCTGCCCTCTATGCGTCTATAAATAGTGGCTTCAAGAAACTTCATCACCATCATCTCAGCAACAAACCCTTTAGGTACTTCTCTACACCTATATATACGTCTAACTATATACATATCTCATATATATAAACATCTTCAGTATTTGCTATAATGATCAAAATATTTGGTGTTTAATCAAGTTCTTGATAGCCCTCAGGTTCAAATTAAAATCCCATATATTTTTCAATTGTTAATCAAAAATCGATGTTTAATGGTTTGGGAGGCATTGATAGTGTTGACAGAAGATAGAGAGCACAGATGAGAAGATACAATTCTTCGCAGCTTCTTTGCATCTTACTCCTTTGTGCTCTCTAAGCTTCTGTCATCACCCGTTATTTTGCGGTCGCCCATCTTCTTTGAAATATTATCTATATATACACAACTATGTTTATGTCTTGTTTCTTCCATGGCTTAATTTTGACTTGCAACTATAGAAATGCAAATTTTAGCCTAAAAATGTTTTCTTCAAGAGATATTGATCATGTTCTCAGTTAAATTTATATATACTCTAAGTTTCTATATTGAGTTTTCTTATCTTCTTCTTTTTTTTTGTTGCAAAGAGTTTTCTTATCTTCAAATATATATGGGTTTGAGTTTTAAGGTATTTTAGTTTGGTTTCATCCAAATTTGTTTGTTGATTCAATTAAAGATAGATGATCAAACTTCATTAATCCATGCATATAAATCTGGATAGTGATCATTTGATCAATGAGATAGAAACGCTTAATAGGTTCAAAGATTTTAAAAGTGGAAATATGTTTTGTATTTGGTGTGGTTGTAATCAATTGTTGAGAAAGTATGTAATAAGTTAGAGTTACAATTTCTACTAGTACGTATCTTAATTTATATCTTTGGGGCCGGGAAACCAAAATGAAACAATTTCAGTCGTTTCAACTATCTCAAAGAGCCCTGGCCATGGATCTTCAAGCATCACTTTGTTTCATTGCGGAGATTAAGGTAAAGATTGTGTGCTATAAGTCTGAATTTCTTTTGTCTTGTCTTGCCGACTCATTAGTTATAGATTTGGATGTTTGTATGATTAAAGGAAGTGTTATAACTTTTATGTTCAATAAAATATTCGTGCGTATACAAGAGATCAATTACTTTTAAGATGTCTCAATAGCTATGATTTATGGAGACTTTTGCATCTCTCGGCTAATCTCTCACTTCATAGGGTTCTCCATTTGGCAAAACTTTCTCACGCGGCTTCAAAACAGCACCAACAGTCATCTATGCAACATGGTGAGAGCGAAAATAACCGGATCTTCAACAGTCGCAGCATAAGATCTATTCAAAATTTGATCGCACGCGGAATAAAAAACAATTATCTTGTGAGGCAGTTTATTCGACTATTCACGGATACTTAGCGTTATGATTCAGCCAAACTCCGAGCTTATAGTTGTTGTCAATTCTCGAAATTGCTATGAGTTATAAAACTTGGAAGCATGAGGTTGCATTGACAACCCTTTCTTTTATTTCATTGTAATAGTTTCATTACATATATAGCAATAAATTCAGAAAAGTTTTTAAACATTGACAAGATTTATATGTATAAACCTCGATTTGATAAGACTTTTTAGTCTATAAATTATTTCATGTCTGAAAATGAAAGGCTAACCAAAAAGTGTTTACTTAATTAGAAAAAACGTTACTCCTCAAGTTCAATATCGCAGTCGATTTTTGGATAGTGAAAACGATTCTCATCTCAAATTAAACGTTAAAACTTAAAGATCTCACTGTTCAGCATCGTTGGAAAACTAACTCACGCCCTCAAAGATCATCGTTCCAGAGTACTCAAGTCTTATTATTCACGTATATCTAACAATCTCGTTCTTGTTTTGTTTCCGGGATCTGAATACAATTCACAGAAACTAAAATAAAACTAATTTTCAACCCTAACAAAGTAACACATCCTCTCTGTGCATATAAAACATAACTAGACCTATAAGTCCATTTATGATCCTATCTGATCTTTAAAGCTGATAGCTAGATTTAAAGTTTTGTGTCAAAAGAGTACATTGATTTCAAAAACAGTGTAATATTCAGTATCTTGGTAATGTTACCACATAATCATCAAATTTAAACTGAGATCAACAATAGAAAAATCATGTCTTTATCAAAAGCAATAGTAATTTGACCCATGTAGATTTGTATAGAAAGAGAGAAGAGACATGGGTCTAGAACTCTTTTATTAGGCCCGGCCCAACACAAAATTATCAAATTCATTTAAATATTCAAAAAAAAAAAAAAAAAACCATAAACTTTGCCGCTTATGTGAGGCGTTTCTTATCAATTAACACTCTCACTATATAACACTGAGTTTAGCTGTTTAGATTTAGGTTTTCTTCGGTACTGAAGCTCTCTTTCAAACGCCAGCCGATCTCAGATTCAACATGGCACCAAAACGTAAAAAACCTTTTTCAGAGAACGAGAATTCTAAAGCGAAAAAACGTTCCAAGTCTGCCGTGGTGGTGGCCAAGGAAAATGAGATAGAGATGTTTGATGCCAAGGACGAGGGCCTCGCAAAATTCTTAGATGATCCGATATCAGATCATGAGGCACGACTATCGTGGCCTCAAAGATACAAGGCGATCGAGGTATATATATCACATCTACACATTTAATATATCTCACTTTTAATTGACATTTTGATGCATATATGTTGATTTCTGAAATAATGGATCTTATATTTTCTTTTCAGAAAAAGAAAGTTGTAGCTCGGTTAAGTAAAAAGAAGAAGTAAGTTTTTAACCATTTGCTTATAGTGCATAGTTACATATATATAGATCTATCATTTCTTGCATACACTAGATATATAACTAGTTATATTTTGACGGCTTTGTTCAATGTATATGTAAACTCAGTTCCAAATGGATATAGATGTTAAGAAAAAGTAAATGTCATTTGTGAACTAATTCATGTCATTAATTTTTGTAGGGCTGATGAGATCATCCAAGCTCGACGCCATTTTTAGACGTGCAATGGATGATGAGTGCCATATATATGATCTTTATGATGATGCATGTGTGAAGGTGACTCTATTACGTCTCTTTTGTGTTTGAATATTCTTATTCATGCTTCAAAATGAGTAAATTGAGGATCGTCCTATGTTAAATATTTCATCATGCACGCTCTAGAACGAGAAAAAAACTTGAAAACTCAAGAACCATGCAATCTTTTTACACATCAAACTTATGGCCGTCACGCAAAACTTGAAAACTCAAGAACCATCCTACTCTATCACGTACATTCGTAATTTCCAATTCTGCAAATGTTTTTCGAGGACATGTTGATAAACATTTACAATTCAAGGCTGAGATCTCATAGGAAACAATATTTATCTGATTATTATTTAGGCTAACATGGGCATATTATGCATTGGCTATGCTTTTTATTACAACCATACATAACTTATGTTTCTCACAACTTAATTGTATAATTTTAATTCAGGCTGGTCCAGAATGTTGGATTGTCAAAGGACTTTGATTGATAAACAGAGAGACTTGACAAGAGAGACAGAAACAGAGTTGTGAAAACTGAAACTTTATTAATTGAAAATCTGAATTGTGTTACAAACAAAGACAACGTTCTTATGTTTTTGACACAAGATAGTCATCTCACCAACAATTTAAAGATGTGAGAAATTACTAAACTTCGAGGCTCAAGCATACAGAGAAGAAGGATGGAATGGATCCATTTACCTCCCTTGAAAATCGGACAATAATGTAACGCTTCACTTCTTGTCAGGGTTTAGTCCAACAGATAGGATTAGGCCCCAAACAAGGCCACAAAGACCCCCCGGATATGAGTTAGGTTGCATCTAAGTCTTAAAAGGCATCTGTTTGTTCCCCTCGTATCCGATGTGGGATTTTTATCACATCGACACTACATTACATTAAGAGAACCATAGAGGTTGCACGCAGGCGTGACATGCTACGTACAGATAGAACTATGTATACTATAATACGCAATCGATGATTCAACTCTGCATAATGGAGTATGCCAGTGGCAACATTTAGTAAGATCTTCTAAATGTTGCATAACCATCCCAGAAACGGATAAAGTAGATGATTCATCATTATTCTATAAATGATAAAATTCTCAGGCACAGTCAAAATAAACATGGTAAGTTGAGATGACCAGATTAGATCAAGGGCATAATGCCAAAGGATATAGGTATAAGATGCTGAACAAAATTACTCATTTCAGGTAAATATAGTTGTTTGAATCGTTCACAAGAGCTAGAGCCTCAAAATGAACACAAGATTCTTCTTTTCTTTATTTTATCTTTTGCTCGAACCTACAGGGAGAGTCAGTAAGTAAACTAAAGACTGCTTTAATCTGAGAGAGTGGTAAAACGTAATCCTTGTCTATAGCAACACTCTTTCAAAAACAAAATGGTCAAATTGCTTGCATGTATTTGACCTTCAATAACCTAGAATTTAAGGCACAACATTTTACTGTAGCGTATCGAGCTAGCATACTGATATCAAAAACAGTCTAATATAAGCAATATACCATACCTAGTAAAGTTAATACCACAGTTAGTACCGAATTTAACCAATAGACAAAGCATCCTCCATATGAAAGGCAAATCCAACCCAACTCCAATCTTCCTACTCTTAAAGATTCACAATGTATCTTCCAGCTAGTAAGTATCCCAATGACATTCTACAAACTTAATCGACCTTGCAAGTTGAAACTATTTTAGGAAAAGAAGTAGTTTTAGATCAACTAACACATACACTGCTATGACTTAGACTAATTTTTTTTCAGAATATGGTAGGAACTAACTAGTGACAACTTCTAATCACAAAATCGTCAAGAAATAGTTTTCTGCAGAGAAATTGCTATTTTCGGACCCTAAACAGAACAACTTGACACAAAAATATCATTCGATACAATCACTGCATTCTTCTCCAAATGGTAATGCCAGCAAAACACATAGTTCCAGATAAACTAACACATTCTATGATTTAGACTATGATTGTCAGCGTACTGCAGGAACTTGAGTGGCGGTTTCTAGAGATTACTCCTCGGACATAGATACAAACCAAGATTACCAAAAAACAAACTCATATATTAACAACAAACCAAGTCAATCTTTTCCCATGAATGTATTACCTCCACTGCAGCATTTAGAATGAAAAAAACTATACCAACACAATAGTTTATGATCTGTAGTTTTGCACTACGACTCATACTATCAACATGTCAAGATATCTAAACTCCCAAAACAAATCAAACAGAACATAGAAACATTTAAATTTTAATGAGTAATTTGAAAAAAAGTTTCATAGTTTTCGACAAAGTAAAAAACTTTCATCAATACAAATTTCACATCTTTGTTTAATCTAAAATCCTTTGTAAGTTGAAACCATTTTAGCAAGAAGTAGTTTTAGATCAACTAACACATACACATACTATGACTTAGACTAAGTTTCAGCGTATGGCAGGAGCTAACTATTGACAACATCCAATCACAAAATCGTCAAGAAATAGTTTTCTGCAGAGAAATTGATAATCTCTTGCCGACCCTAAACAGAACAACTCGATACATAAAATATCATCCGACACAATCACCGCATTCTTCTCTAAATGGTAAGACCAGCAAAACACATAGTTCTAAATAAACTAACACATGCCCATCCTAAGATCTAGACTATGTTTATCAGCAAAACAGAAACTTGAGTGCCGGTAAGCAGAGAGTAACACATAAATACACAAACCAAAATAACCAAAAGACAATCTCATATTTCACAACAAAACAAATCAATCTTTTCCCATGTTTGTATTACCACTACTGCAGCAATTAGAAAGAGACTATAGCAACACAACAGTTTATGATCTGTACTTCTGCACTTTCAAGAAATGAAGGTACCAAAACAAATCAAACAGAACAAAGAACATTGAATCAGTGTAATTGGAAGAAAGTTGCATAGTTATGCACAAAGTAAAAAACTTTTATCAATACAAATTTCATATCTTTGTTGAATCTAAAATCCTTTTCAAGTCTCTCCTGCTTAATCCGAGAGAACCACACATCTCTTCATACTCCTTTCATATCCATATCCCTAATTATATTCCTATAAATCCTACCAACATTTATATAATAACATCTTTCCCTTTCCTTATTCCTATTGCAAATATGTTTCTTCCCCAATTCATTACCCAGAAAAGTTACGATATTTATCAAATCTGTACACAACCACTAATTATTACCCTTCTTCGTCTCCAGATCAGCGAGTGAGCATCATCATCATCCTCTCTTGATCAGTAAGTGAGTGACGGAAATGACAACGGTGACCGTAAGGACACATAGCTCCGGTGACAATCATTCTACAAACCTCAGTTTTGTAGCGTGGATGCCTAATCACAGGACGGAGCTCGCCGATTCCGTGAGCGAATTGGCAATTATCGCCGTAAGGACAAGCTCCGGTCTCTTGCCATTTGTTACAAAGCTCCGTCTTCATCATCCCTTGACGATATACCTCAAGCTCTAATGCTTCTCTCTCTCCTTTTGTTGGTACTACACACACCTTTTGAGACGACACCTTCACACACATTTATGACGTCATTATAAATAAAAATTAAAAAATAAAATAAATTAAATTAAATGAGAATTACCGAGTCGGAGCTGTGTTGACTCGTGAAGCTGAGTTGACTCGTTTGACGATCAGAAACTCCAAATCCATGGTTGATCTTGAGATAACCTGGAGATCTGACGGAGATGCTCTTAGGCAACGAGTTTCTCTTCACGGAGCGAGAATGCTTATGAATCGGACCGAAATCGGAGATCTGGTGACGGAATTGGCGGTTATGGTTATGGATCGGCGGTGGAGAGACGGAGGAGGATGAGGAAGAAGATGAAGTAGAGAGATGAATAAGTTTGAGTAGATCTGAGTTTTCAAAGCGGAGAGAATCGTTTTCGTGACGAAGAGAGTCGAGTTCCGTCATTAGAGATTGAAGACGGTTAAGGCAAAGCTCGTAATGCTCGTTGAGTTCATCGTACTCGAGGATAAGTCTCGCTTGACGAAGACGATGCTCTGTTGTTGTATCGACGCGAGCTGGCGGTGAGGAAGAGGACGGAGGAGAAGGAGAGAGAGATAACGAAATCGGGAATTGAGATTCCGGTGAGAAAATTGAATTGTAGAGTGATGCGAAGCTTGCGGCGAACTCTTCTTGATGTTTGTTGTTGAAGCTTTTTTCAGAGAGAGGTGATAATGGAGGTGGTGGTGAGTTTATTGCTGTTACGTAAGCTAGATCTGTTATTGTAGACGAAGCGAGTTTCTCCATTGTTGCAATTCTCGAAAGCTTCCTGAAGAAGCGATTACAATTTGTTAATCAACGACAGTGATTCCGATTAGATCTACAAAATCAAAATCGGAAACTAAAACTTCCGTCACTAACGTGATGATCGGAGAAGACGATAAAGCTTTACCTGAATTTAGCGTTGGAGCTTGAGAGAAGCGAAAGAGAAAACGCGGTGAAATAAAGATATGAACAATACTCTGTGTATATATATACAAAGTGTGAAACAGAGAGGTGAGGAAGAAGAAAGAGATAATGATCGTATGTGGGAGAGACTACGGGAAGATTGTTACGCTTCTTAATTGAGACCCTTGTTTGAAAAATCGCTAGGCGCTAGTCGGGCGCTCGGCATGGGCCTAGCGATTAATCGGAAAATCGGACTAAAATCGGGGATTAATCGGGGATTAGTTTTAGGGTTATTTTAATATTTTTAAAACATATTAATCCAATATTATTTTCAAAATTGCAGTAAACACATAAAAATGTATTTTTGAGACAAATTTTTATGATTTTTATTACAAATTTATGATTTTTATTAAAATTTGAACATAAATTATTGTAAAACATTACAAACTCTCAATTCTAATGATTGAATAACAAAAATAAAAAGTTTTTTTATACTAGCAATCTAAAAATAATCGGGGTATGTAAGATTAGGCGGGGAATAATCGGATTAGGCGGGAAGTAATCGGATTAGGCGGAGAGTAATCGGGTGACTGATTTCTTTAAGAGATTAGTCATTAATCGAGGCGGATAGGGTGGGCCTAGCGATTAAGCGGGGAGTAATCGGATCTAGGCGGGGATTTTTAGAACAAGGATTGAGACTGTAGGATGAGATGATCTAAGGGTTGACTTGATAAGCGGTTGTATTTAATTGGTTAGAGAATCGCTTCCTCATGGTTAAGTAAAGTACAGAGAAGTATTCTACCTACTTCACTTTTCGCGCCAACTTCAGAACCGTTAGAGATGTCTAACAAAATATTATTTGTTTTTTTTTTAGATAACTTCAACAACAAAACTAGTGTGTAGTTTTACACATACAGTGAGAAAATAATTAATAAAATTAATTTAGTGTATAGTTTTAAAACGTAAGATTGGGACAATAGTCACCATAAAAATGTTAAATCCATTTGTACTATCAAATGTAGTCAATAACATGGATAGGTTTTCGATCCCAAAGGAAGTTTAGAGCTCTCTCATCATTGGTTCGATCCGCTTGAGAGACGATTAATTTACATACATTGATCATCGGTCACGTAGATGTTACAAATTTTGGCTTGGAACTCCGTCAAAAAAAAAAAAAAATAAAATAAAATCGATCGACGATTGAATTTACGTTCAACTATCACAAACCATTATTAATATATTCAATGAGCAAGTATATAAATCAACATCATGCAAAAAATCGATTTTGAAAAAAATTTAGATGGAAACAAAAAGTTTGTTAGGAGCCTAGGAGGGGAAGCTTTGCTTGTAATTTGAAGAATAAAGGAAGTATGTATCGATGTGTTTGAAGAAACAGAAATAAAGAAGAAAAAATTCATTTCTTAAGTTTGGTTAGGCCAATCATGAATAAGAATAGTTAATTAATTGATCCTTAAATTTAGATTTTTTATGTTTTGTTTAGATTCATGTTGTTAACGACCGTGGTAAGGTAAGGAATGTATGTGTGAGTTTGCTTCAAGACCACAACTTTAACTAACTATATGGTCCCTCTTTCTTATGTGTATATACTTCAATCAAAATCTATCGTTGTAGCTAACTAACTAGAAAATGTTTCCTTTCTTCTAACCCAACAACCCTACCCAAATTACCTTCTCACCCTTTCTTTTACATATCATATAACCCATATAACTAATCCAAAATGTAAATCTATAATCATAACTATTGATATAAGCTTTGGGAAGCAAAAATTCAAAAGTATATATTAAAAATAAATATCTTTTATTTCTTAGAAATTACATACATACTAACAAAGAGGCAATTTTTGCAAAGACAAAAATGAGATAGAAAATTAGGATATCAACATTATGGGTTGTGGTTTTCAACAGAGATAAATAAAGTTAACAAATAGGCTTAAAATTTGAAATATTTACAAGAAAACCACCTCTTCTTTTAATATGCAAGCGGGACTCCTACGGGTAATAAAAAGCTGAAAAAATGGTGCGATAGAGTGAATAGTTTAAACGGCGAATTCTCCGACGCATCGGAGTAAATAGTGTACACGACACAATGAAGTGAATAATATACACGACGAACCAGTTAAATCAGAATAGAGAAAAATTGTACAATGGTGTAAGTAAGAGATGATGGGACTTGGGAAATTGATGAACATGTAAAAGAAATGAACATCCAAAAATCAAGAGAGAATTTGACCTGTCTGTCTCATTTATTACGATGGAACTGATTCGAAACAGAGAAACGTGTGGGGTTAATTTACGCAAAGGTGTGAGCTAAATATTACATTGTTTTAGAATCTATATTAAATCACCAAAAAATTAATTTTGCCCATATATATAGTCTCCCACCCAATTATCTCTATAACAAATATTAGATGGAATATTAGAGATTAATATCCATTATTTGCAAATAGAGATGTTAATAGGGGCTAACTCACCCCATTTAAAATTCATCCTATTTAGACCCACCCATTTAAATTTCTTTTACCCGTTTAAATCCATTTAGACCCATATAACATTGTTTTGTTCTAAATAATGATATAACTGTTTTTATTATATTGTTGAAGAACAGTTAAAAAAAAAACGAAATTTTGCAAGTTTTGGCAGAAAAAACGCAAAATGTAAATGTAACAAACAATCTACAATCTATGAAATGACAAGGGCGATGTCGTTCGTAGAAATTATCCATTGTCGTTATAAGAAAAAAAAAATGATAAATACTCGAGATTGTAGAGACTTAAATGGGTTTAAGCCCAATACATACGTCAATAAGCCCAATAAATACGCAAAAGCCCATATGCATCGTATACTTATCAAATACAGTATCTTTTCTCAATCTTATCTGTTTTTCTCATCACTCATAATAAATTCACAATTCAGTGATTGTCATTTGTCCAATCACAATTCACAAAACCATGGCATCAAATAACAAACTTTGGAGCCGTAAACCAGATGTCAAAACCGGGAAATCCGAATTTCCGGTTACCAGATTCCTCCGGACACAAATCGATAACATCAAGAACACAACCGCCGGTCCCGGAATCGGCGGCGGCATTGGCTGCGGCGCTGGAATCGGCATTGGTCTCACTGGCGGGCTCGGTATAGCTGCCTCTGAAGGTTTGAACCATTCTAATGTGGTTCTTGGATTCGGTATGGGTTGCGGTATCGGGTTCGGGTTTGGATACGGGTTTGGAGTTGGCGGCGGGTACAGTTTCGATGATATTAAAGATAGATTTGACCTATGAGAAAAAGCTCCGGTTCATAATTCCGGGTCGGGTTTGGGTAAAGATTTTTAATAGATGATTAAAAACATTTCTGTTAATTTTGTATTAACATTTTTGTTAATTATTTATTTTCAATCAAAAATATCCTTCCTTTTGTCCTTTTATTTTTCTAATTAGTTCTTAATTACGAATGATTAACATGAAAATAATAACAATTGTGACATAAAATTATCTACGCATGGGCGTTTAATCCGAAACCGAAAATCCGAACGGAAAAATCGGATTAAAATCCGAACCGTATCCGACAGATTAACCGATCGGTTATTGATTTCTATATCCATGAATATCGGATAATATCCGATCCGATCCGATATCCGACTGATAATCTGAACTCTCTTCTAGAAGTTCTAGAACCTTAGTCGTCCCTTGCAATACGGGATCCATGTCCCTTATCTCGATTTCTCTCCCTAGCAATACGTGATCCACTTCCCTAATCTCGATTTCTCTAGCAATACGAGATCCACTCCTCTAACATATAAGCATAAAACCCTAATCTTTTAATATGTTAGTCACTTCAGTTTTGTTTTAGAATTTCGGATTAATCAGATTATTTTTATATTTTTGGTTAAATCGGATATTGAATATAATATTCATATCGATCCGAAATCCGAAATATCCAAACCGAAACCGATCCGAATTCTATAATTATCCGTATGGATATTAGAATCTATATCCAAAAAAAACGAACTCCGAAAAAACCGAACCGAATCCGATCCGATAACCAAACGCCCAGGCCTAAAATTATCATAATTAATCATTTCAACCCAAAAATATACTTCCTTTTTGTCTTACTTGCTTGAATTTTCTTATAGCTCACACTAAAATCACAATTATGAAGTAAACATAAACATTATTGCATAAAATGTATCATTAATTAAAAATAATTAAATGGAAGAAACCAATTTCTCGAAGCTCTCGTAGACATTTCTCATGAGTGGTCTTTTATCTGGGTTCTTCTGCACACAAGCTAAACCGATCTTGATAACTTGAACCATACTATCTTCCAAATCTCTATCTCGAGCTAAAACCGGATCAAGAACATACCAAACCGGTTTATTTCTCTCACTAGCAGATTGAACCCACATAACCAAATCCATCTCTGAATTAACCGGAGATTTTCCGGTTACCAATTCGAGTATCACTAAACCGAATGAATACACATCCCATTTCTGAGACGGTTTAGTCATCTTTGAAGCTGCTTCAGGAGCTTGGTAATATGATTCTCTAGAGATGATTGGTGAGCTTGTCTCCATGGGGGAGATCTGGTCTGATCTGATCTCTGAAGATGTGTCGACGATACGACCTAGACCGAAACCGGATACTTTCGGTTCAAGATTCGGTCCGAGAAGTATGTTGCTTGAGTTTATATGTCCATGGACGTATCTCTTGGGACTGAACTCGTGAATGTAAGTCAATCCTTTTGCGATTCCTCTTAATATTCTTAGCCGGACCGGCCAAGTTAGTTGCTTGCAAGACACGCCACCAGGTCTACCTGTCATAAACTTGTATGAATCAGACTTGAATCTAAAGTATGGTCATGGATTGACACAATTTTGACACTAAACTTACCTTGAATTGCAGAACCAAGGTCACCATTTGGTATGTAATCATAGATTAGGAGTTTCTCTTCCGGAGACCAGCAACAAGCCTTGAGATTCAAGACATTCGGGTGCTTGATTTTCGCCATTGCTTCGACATCAGCTAGAAACTCTTTGAGTCTTAGCCAACCCTTATCTTCCAATCGTCTGACGGCTAACATTAACCCGTTTTCAAGAACAACCTTGTACACAAGCCCGATCCTGCTCTTCCCTAGAAGATAAGCCGAGGCTTTTAGAAGCTGGTCTAGGTCAAATTCGATTTCCGGGTCCATTGGCATGAAAACTTGTTGATTTTTGTTCTCTAGCGCTTCAGATTCTGAATTCCCAGTCTTGAAACATAAAAACCCTGGCTTTGTCTTTTTCAGTTTCTCTTCTGTGTGGTTGTTCTCATCTTTGATTGCACGAGCTGATGCTTTTCGAAGATAGTAGATGAATAACAAAGCAAGAAAAATGATTCCGGCCACTGTGCCTCCAGTGGCTGTAAGGATGATGCAGAGTTTAGAATGATGGTTGGCTCTTCTTGTATATAGTTGAGAAGGAACTACCTGTGTGTTTCTTGTGGTGCAAGAAACTTTTATCGGTAATCCGCAAAGGAAAGGGTTCCCTTGGAAAGCATTTGGACCGGCATTCAACAAAACGTTGGATTTTGGTATCGGACCACTGAGATTATTGTAAGAAAGATCGACATACAGTAGCTCCGGGAGATTTCCAAGACTTGTTGGAATCATACCTGAGAAGACGTTATGAGAAAGATCAAGAGTACCTTTCAGATTCTTCAGACTTCCGATATCTTCGGGGATCGTTCCAGTTAATCGATTGAAAGAAAGATTCAGCGTCCGAAGATGAACCAAGTTAGAACCAAACCCGGTTGGAAGAGCTCCAGAGAAACTGTTCTTGCTAAGAACAAGTGTTTTCAGCTTCTTGCATCGAATAAGCGACAAAGGGATCGAACCGTTGAAAGAATTCTCCGAAAGATCCAAAGTCATCAGACTCTTCAACCTCCCAATCTCCTCAGGAACCAACCCGGAAAACGAATTCCCGGACAGCCCCAAGCTTTGAAGCCCTTTAAGTCCATATAGTTCCACAGGTAATTCCCCTTGAAACTCATTGTCTCTAAGGTTAACATGTCGAAGCGACAAGAGACTTCCAATGGATGGATGAAGAAAACCCGAAAGGCGTTTATTAGGAAGACGAATCGAAACAACTCTCAGCTCATCATTACATGTAACACCTTGCCATAAACAAGGGTTTGAATCTGAAGAGTTCCAATTGGTAAAAACAGAGTCACTACTCTGGTTTTGTAAGGATTGCTTAAAGGAAAGAAGAGCAAGACCTTGATCGTTTAAAGAAGTAGCCATGGCAAAAAAATGAGTTAGAATTAAGGAGAGAATGAGAAATAATTTAGCCATCTCTAAAGAGAAACACAATTCTGAATTGAGTAAAGTTTGGCTTCTAAAGATCTCCAAAAAACAGTGTTTGCTATATAGCTTGGACTGGCCTAGCTAGATTTCAAGTCAACAGTTTTAACTTCTTTTCAATTCTAAATTTTATAAAGATATTTATTTTTTTGAAGAAAGTTACATCTAAATTCATGTATCAAACAAAATTTAATAAAGAATATTTGAAATTTTATATGTGTAAATATACTTTATATAGCGATGATTGAGGCTATAATTGGAACAGTAGGGGACACGTAATCTTAATGAGGAACAGCTTTTCTAGTTTCTAGTTGTTTAGTTAGTGGTGGGGAAATGTATTGACAATTTTACTTCCAAATTTTAAAGTCAAATCTCCACCAGAATTATTATTGTGCCGGTCAATTTAAGTTTCGGTTCGATTTGATTTGTACTCCAGTTTACTTCTAGATTGTTTGTTTCTGTTTTGGAGTCTGTCACAAATCTAACTAGTTTGGGGAGGAATAAGAGTTAACATTTGTCGGAAAAATACTTGAAAACAAGAATACTACTTTATTTTTTTCCATCGAAAACAATAATACTACTTGAAGTGAAATTTGTGAGTCATGACCAAATATTTCTACTGTGATTATTACATAATTGTATAAGTTTATTTGGTTTATATGTGGTTTACATTAACAAAATTATATTTCGACGACCATTCGGTTGAAACAAAAAGTAAAATTTAGATCAAGTTTTTTTTTTTTTTTTTTTTTTTTTTTTTTTTTTTTTTTTTTTGTAGGTACCCAAATTTAGATTAAATAAAATTGAGACAATTTTTTTTTTTAGGTATTTGTACGGTCTTTTATATATTTCTAGTTGACCAAAAAAAAATTAGATGCAAGTAATTAAATTAAAATGTTATTCGCAATATGAGTATTATTTAAAAATATATTGATAATATTTCTATGAAAAGAAAAATTAAAAACTAAATTATTCATTTCTTATAATTAAATAATGTTTTAATTTAATTTACTTCAATTTGTGTGTCTATAAAAATATTCACGCCAAATTTTTTTTTTTCAACGGCTGGTCATGTATGTCATATGTTAGTTACACCATGTAAATTATAATGACAAAATTACTTGACTATTATAAAAATGCAATACTTTATTTTCAGTAATATACACCTAAAATATACATAAATACATCAAAATGCAAAACAAATAAATCACTTACAAGCTACAAACAATGTGAAACTTAAAATGCAAGCAAAAATAATACTTACAATCACTTCAACAAGATAACTAAATTTCTCATTGTTCTAAAGAGGAATTACGCCTTTTCCGGCTAAAAAATTTGACCATGTTTGGAACTTTCTTCTTCTTCTTGATTACAAAGAAAGTTGGAGTCGCTCGGTTCCCGGCAGATGAGTATCTTCTCGACTTCCCTCCCTGAACCGGTGTGAATTTCCCGCTCAGCCTAACCGATTTTCGCACCGGTTTTGGAGAGTTGATCAAGTCTTTGTCTTCTGAGTTTTCCTTGAACTTCTCAATCTCATCTTGGATCAATCTCTTTATCGATAGCGACCTCTGCATTCTAAACGATTCCCTCTCTTCTTCCAACATTGTTTTCCCACTCACTCTCTTTAAAGATTCTGTCTTTATCATAATCGCCTTAGTGCTAGCCTTTAGTGCTTCGACCCACGCCATTGCAGCTTCCACTTTCTTCTCTGCGGTTTCTTCCGCGTGACAAGCTTTTCCACTCAAATACTCGTACTCGAATCTTGATATTGTGATGGTTGAATTACGCCGAGATTCCATTTCCCGAGTTTCCATTGTTTTCTCTACCATTGATTCAAGCTTCTCGAGAGCTAAAGCCTCTGTGTGCTTCGCTTTCTTAAGCTCATCTAACTTGGAAAGTAACTCTTTTTCCTTTCCATCAAAACCTATTTCGATATTCTGTATTTCTTTATCGATGATCCTTGCTTCTTCTTTAAGGTTAAGCTCCTCTTTCTTCGCAGCTTCTCTATCGTTCTTTAGTTTCTCAAACGAAGTAGTTAAATTGTCCGCAAGACAGCTGATTCTTTCTTCAGCTGCAGATACTGCTGCTAATTGATCTTTCGCAATAAGCAGCTTCGTATTGAGTCTCTCAATCATTACATCATCCTTTTGTATCATCTTATCTAACCAAGCTGTTTCTTTTTTTGCTTGGTCAAGTTCTTTCCTCAATGTATCCATTGTATTGACTAGACAAAAGAGTTCTGCGTTAATAGAAGCAAGTTCCGCCTTCTTCGCTTCTGTTGCTTCCATAACTTCTTTCAAAACCGACAAATTATCTTTTCCTCTTTCAAAAGCTCGGTTTTTCGATCTCGACATACTATCATTTCTCTGAACCTTCCTCTCCATTTCCTTGACAAGCTTTAACTGAGTTTCTAACATCTCAATATCCGATAAAGTCTCGGATAACTCATTCTCAAAGTTCTTTGATATCTCAATCTCTCTCATCACTTCCCTTATTCTTTTCTTTCGTTTATGCAATGACTCAAACACTTCCTTCTTTTCCCTCTCCCTCTGCTCTTCAACCTCTTTACACTCCTTCAAAGCCTCGATCTTCGCCAATTCAACCAAAACATGTTCTTCGTTCACAACATCAACCTCTAACTTAAGACTCTCCAACAACTTCAAATTCTCCTCCATTCTAGACCCCAACTCCATTACTTCTTTCTCCGCCTCAACTTTCTCTCTCGAAACATACACTATATCAAGCTTCAGCTTACTCAATTCTTGCTTCAAATCCTCCAACTCTCTCATAATCCTACCATACCCACCATTCCCATCTATCCTTGACTCATTCATCATAGCTTCAATATCGATCTTTCGATACTTTAACCTTCGATTCGACTCCTCTATCCGTAAAGTAAGCTCCTTTACTATCTTCTTCACCTTAAACAATTCCACTTCGGCTTTCGCCTTTGCAGACTCAGCTACTCTTCTGCTCTCCCTGTAGATTCCAAGCTCCTTCCCTGACTTATGCAAATCCTCCACAACCGAAGAAGACTGGTAACAAAAACAAAAACTTTAACATACAAAATTGCATCATTTGCATTAAAAATCGAAACTTTAATCTAAAGAATCGATCTTTGGTTTATACCAACTATATACAATTCTCAAAAATCAAAACTTTAGCAAACTAAAAGCATTCTTTGCACAAATATGAAAGAAACTACACATTTTTAATCTGAAAGTTCTGATCTTTGGATTCACCTTTATGACTGGTAAATCAAGATGATGAGAGACACTTCTTGTAGCTTTTTGTCCGTACTTATTAATGGCGGCTTTCACTGATACAATTCCACCTAAAGTCCTTTCACCCATTGATCTGAGAACTTACAGGTGAGTGAGATGTTAGAGGAAGAGAAAGGTTGATGTTGTTGTGTGTTGCAGAGAATAAACGGAAGAGAAGAAGGAGATGATGATGATTGGTTCACGTTGCCTCTGTTTTTTCTTATCATTTTGTTCTGTTTGGGAAAAGTTTAGAGAGAATTTATGAAAGTTTTGTTTCTTCTGAGTATTGTATGTGAGGCCAAGGATACCACAAGTAGCATAAACATATATGACATATTGTGACATGTGAGACAATTCCAAGTAACTTTAGCACATACACTAATTGAGAATATCCAAATAAAATTTTATCTGAAATACAATAATTCCACAAGTAGAGAAAGTTCTTCCGTTTTGACGTGTTGACACCACATCTCCTAGGCACATGTTTGTGTTTAGGCCTCGACATAAAAACCGAATCTCAAAATTTGAATCAGAACCGACCCGAAATAACCGGTTCGGTTCGGATTCGATTATTGCTAAAATACTGTATATATGTACCCTATTATCCGAAATTACACACTTGTATATATAAAACATGTACTTATATGTTAGATAATTAGGTAAAAAGTCGGGTAATCAGGTATAATTTTCGGATAATTCGGATTAAATGGCGGGTAATCGGATAAAATTCAGGTAAACGGGTACAAAATATCTGAATAAAAAGGATACTCGCTTTTTCGGGTATTAAATGGCTCCAAAATTCTTCTATCCGAACCAATCCGGAATCGATAGGAACCGAACCGATACCCAAACCGAAATTTCTCGAGTCCTAAATGGGTCTAAAACTCTTATACTCTTCGGAACCGAGCCGAATACTCATATGCCCAGATCTATTTGTGTTGTTGGTCTTGTTTTAAATCGTAACAACTAACAATCCAACTAGAGGACAGAATGATCTGGTTCAATTGTTGGTTCACCCACTCAATATTTGTGATTAGGCTATTTTAGCAAATTGGGCCTATTAGGCTATTGGGCTATTATAACATATTCAATATTTCACATATCAAACATAGTAATTCAAACGATTTGGTAAAGATAGAGAGGTAAGTAAAACAATTTTTTTTTTTTGTCGTCAAGTAAAACAATTAAACATGAAGATTATACATTTGGTGCTCATCGGCTTCGTGATATTCTTATCACTATTTTTCAGCACTAATTTCTCAAAAGGAGTGTTCCGAAAAGGCGCTTGAATATTGTTGATGTTTGTTAATCTATAGCCAAGCCAACGTGTAAAAACTACATCGCCAAATGCTCGCGGACTTCTGGTATACCTTTCCCCAAATGTTAGTTTTTGGGATCTTTTATAAATCAATAAAAGAAAACTAAATAATGATATAGCATAAATCAAATGTCCTATGAAAAACATTGTGCTGGTTAGTGTTAATGTCATAGCTAGATTTTTTGGTTGAACAAATTTTACATTTATTCAAAAAAAAGTCAAATATATTACTTTATAATCTTTTTACATGCACCACCAAAATGTCTAAATCACACCACTTAGAGATGGAGATGTTCTCTTTGCGGACATGGATTCTGCTTTGGTAATATGAATAGTCAAATTAATTCTCTTAATGATCTCTACAGACACTTCGAAATTTCTAGAAATTAGGACACTATAATCACGTTTACTTACATATCACAATGTGCTTGTTGCACACCAAGATCATTACCCCTTTTTTTTTGTGAGCTTAGAAACGCTCCAAAAAAAAAAAAAAAAAAAAACGCTCCACACATGTTTAGGTCCCTCACATCACTCTCGATTAATGGGCTACAAATCTCTATTTTTGTCTAACGGTCGATGCGCTACTATAAAACATTTTAAAGATCTGTGGATTGAACTTTCAGATTTCCAAGAGTGTTTTTTTTTGTTTCTCTCTGTATTTTATATTCACTCAAAAGATATTAAAAATCGATACTAAATAGTTCCAGTTAAATTGTAAAGAAATTTTCACGTTTCAAAGGAAAAAAAGATTTTGTCTCACGTTTTGGCAAACTGAGATTCAGTTCTCAGGGTTTGACAATTAAGGCACATTCTGACCAAAATACCCCTAATGAGAAAAATCAAACAACACAGTAGCTCTCGGTTCAGTTTCTTTTCGTTTGGTTAAATTAATTATATAAAAAAAGAAAAACGAAGACGAAGAACGAGACAGAGAGACAGAGAGATTCGTGAGCTAGGAAGCACAGAAGCGTCACTCAACGTCCGATTCTCGCTCCGGAATCGGAAACGGGAGCGGAAGCGTTTGGAAGCGTGATGGAATCGCGGTTCCGAAAAATTAGTTAGTGGAAGCGGCTGGGGAGCGATCGATTCGTATTTGGAAGCGTAGTGATGTATAAACGGAAGCGCAATAATTTTCTTTTGATGCTTATATTGCCTCCTGGTTTTCTATTGGTGTGTGGATATGGTTTCTTGTCTCTTTTGAATCATATGTTCGAAATTCTCTCAAGCTTCAGAGTAAAATATCAAATGGCCATGAATCATCTCGTTTCAACTATTCAAGTTCCGGTGGTTTTGCTTTCAGATCTAATCGGCGATTTCATCGGGAGAGGAAGCTTAACTGGGCTTTTAATCTTTCTTTCAATTTGGGCTTTGAACCTCTTTGCCCAATTACTTTGACTTTTGCCGACTAAATCAACTCTTTAATTATTTGTATACTATATCATTAATCATAGTTAATCATATGTGTGTGTTACGTTTTCGTTTGTTTTAAAATCTTCTGATTTTTTTTCTATTATTTATATAGTGTAAATTAAACATTTAACAAAAATATACATACATATGTATATATATACATATATGTATAATATACGCTTCCAACACGTACCCGCTTCCCATATTTTATAAAAAATCCGTTTCCGCGTATCCGCTCCCGTTTCCATGCAACGTAGTTCGTGAGAGAAGTCAAATTTCTATTCGAAATTCATTCGTCCATCTTCGTCTTCCGAAATTCCGGCGAGATAGCAACCGTTGTTGAGATGTCTGGGAATAAACCCAATGTCGATGTCCCGACGAAGTAGTATACTCGGCAACGCCCACAGAAGGAGAATCGGGAATTGAGAGTTTCCCCGAGGAGGAAACTATCTCCAACTAACCCTCCGGCGAGTTTGGGTAAGTTTCTGATATGATTTCGTTCGTATTTTCTTTGGGTGTATCGGAATCCTAATGCTAGTTTAATTAAAGGGATATAACTTGCCGGAATTTGCAAAATCTGTAGTTTGAAAATTTCAGAAGTATCAATTGGAACTGTTCTTTCCGCCAAAACACAAGATGTGAGGATTATACGTTGATAATTCCTGTGTACGTACGCGAATTAGGATTGTATACATGTTTGAGATTACTTAATTGTATATGACAGTACTTGCAGGTAGTACAAGTGAGCCTCCGCCTGCAGATGTTATTGTTGAAGAGTTACCACGAAGATTATTTTCTCTAGACCGGTACCCTGTCGAGACGAAGATGAACGCGTACTCCAAACCGGAGTACCTTTCGAAAACGTTGGGCGCAACAAACTTCTTAAACACTCTCACGAAAAATACACACATTGCCCACCCAGTGATCAGAGGACAAAGTTCAGATATTGTATGATACCCGTCCATGACACGGATAGCAAGAACAATCGGAGGACTTTGTGTATGATAGATATAACTGGAGAATGTAAAAGGGTTTTCGATTGTAGTAACGTGGATAAAAGTGAGAAGGATATGTGGCTTAAATAAGGATATTCCGTAACGGACGCAATGGTTAGTGCGAAAGGGTTCAACGGTTGAGATACAAATGTGTGTAACCGTTTTTGGTGTAAGGTATACGTACACAGACATATCAGAAATGTACATAGTTATACGATGGCAAATATTAAACGTACGTACACCGACAAAAAATGTGGTACACAATGTCCAGACATAATTGTACACTGTCTACACGGCGACAAAAAACTAAATAGGATTTTTGCAAATCTTCTTGTTATGACCTGCTTGTTTACATCTTGTACACTGATTCGGAAATAGTCTTTTCTGTCTATTTTTCTGTAGGGACAACAACAATAAGTTAAAAATCAACGCATCTTATACTCTAAACATAGATATAGGCAAATAAGGGCACATGTTAGAATGTTAAAACTTACCCGGTTTTCACCCCTGGATGGTATCACCATCCTTTTGGTGGTTGGTCTCCCTGGTGGTCGTCTACTGTATGGAGGAATCATTATCATATCCGATATATCTTGTGGGATGAAACATTCCGGATGCATTGGGTCTGATTTTACTTGTTTGATTTTATTATCTGTTTCGGTGGCTACGGTTAAAAGAGTACGGTGTCTTTTTATTTTGGATTTTTGGAATTGGATCCATATAATTAATCACATTATTTGGCCCATGTGGATTAATTGTATTCGGTGGTTATGGTCTTGGTCAATCAAGGAATTTTTTTCAAGAATGATGGGTTTAAAAAGTGGTACAAATATAGTTTTGTGGAAAAAAGAATTTTATTGGATTTATAAAACGGTTTTAGATAGTGAAACGAAAACCCAAGATCGGACTAGGGTGTATAGAGAGGGACAAATCTCTCATAAAATTCCAATTTTTTTTATGGAGATTTTAAGTTGGAATTGTCAAGGGCTAGGAAACAAAGCGACAATTGGATATCTAAGAGATTTGTGGAAACAACATAGATCGGATTTTTTATTTTTATCGGAAACAAAACAATATTTATCGTTTATGGAGAAATTTCCTCCTCATTTTGGTTACGATAATTTAAAAACGGTTGAACCAGTCGGATGTAGTGGTGGTCTAGCTTTATTTTATAATAAAGAATATAATGTATCAATATTATTTGAGAATAATCGGTTAATTGATATCGAAGTCATCGTTAAGGGTAAAATAATAAATTTAACATTTGTGTATGGGGATCTAGTGGCCAAGAACAGAGATCAGGTCTGGGAAAGATTAACTCGAATAGGTATAACTCGGTCTTCGCCTTGGTTTTTAATTGGGGATTTTAATGAATTAACCGGAAATCATAAAAAAAGAGGTGGAACTTTGCAGCATGCATCTTCTTTCATTCCTTTTAACACTATGATTAACGATTGCGGGCTTTTAGATTTTCCACATCTCGGTGACTGTTTGTCTTGGAGAGGGTGGAGAGATAAAAAACCTATAAGGTGTAGATTGGATAGAGCACTTGCCAACGAGGATTGGCACGAAATGTTTTGTAAATCATATGTAGAATATCTAGATATGGTAGCCTCGGACCATAAACCAATAGTGGCGATAATTGAGGACAAAATTCCTCGGGGAAAAAAGAACTTTAGATTTGATAAAAGATAGATTGGAAAAGAAGGGTTACTCGAAACCATAGCGGAAGGGTGGCAATAGAATAATACAAGGGAAGACGGTTTTTTTTGTGGAAAAAATAACAAATTGTTGGCAAGCTATTTCTAAATGGCGGAAAATTTTGACACCGTATGGTCGAGAGCTAATTGATGATCTGAAAAAGATCTTGTATTAGCACAAAATGATGATTCGAAATCTTCGGAGGAGATTACAGAATTAACTCTTAAATTAAAGGAAGCATATCGGGATGAAGAACTTTATTGGTATCAGAAGAGCCGGAACTTATGGATGACTGTGGGAGATCATAATTCAAAATATTTTTACGCCCTAACTAAGGAGCGGCGCGCTAGAAATCGTATTTCGGGTCTTTATGATGACAATGGTATTTGGGTATCGGAGGAGAAAGATATTCAACAAGTAGCGGTCAATTATTTTGGGGAATTATTCACCACCTCTAACCCAAATAGCGTGGAAGATACATTAAAGGAAGTGGAAACGTGTATTTCCGATCAAGTCAATCAGGACTTAACGGCACCAGTTACGGAGCAAGAGGTTCGATCGGCATTACTTATGATGCATCCAGAGAATGAATGAACTTTTTATTGTTTGCAGACAACATGTATGAAATTCGTATGGTTTTGTGTACGTACACTGGTTTTGTACATAGCGGATTAAACTAGTAAAACGTACGACCACTTAGTATATTTCAACAAGTATGAAAGACTTTTGTCTCTGGTGTACGTACACTAAATACGTACATAGCGTAAGACTAAAATTACGTACATAGCCGATTAAACTAGTAAAACATACGACCACTTAGTATATTTCAACAAGTATGAAAGACTTTGTCTCTGGTGTACGTACACTAAATACGTACATAGCTGAGTAAACTAGTAAAATGTACACAGACAATATATTTCAAAAAAAGTACCTACTTTACAAATTATTAGTGGAAAAAGTGTCTACTTTACAAATTTTCTCTATATTTTAATAATGGCGTATAACTGTACGTACAAGAAGCATATATTTTATTATTCATAGTTTTATTTGAAAAGAACAATAACTTTATATAGTTTAAGAAACAATACACTTCGTAAGCCTCAGCTGCGGTAACTAGCCGATGATCAGTCAGTGACCCATTTGCTGAAGCTCTAATACCACACTCGAGAACATCATCCCCATTGACTTTGTCGATACCATTAATATTGGTATCCGTGTACGTAACAAAATCACTTTCGCAGCATGTATCTTGTACACAGTCTCTAGTGTACGTACATTGGTACAAACCATGTTGACACGTACGTGTTGGAGTCACGGTTGGTGTACTGTCACCCAAATGAGAAAAGTTATCTCCGCTAGGTACACGATGACTTGTGTACGTACACTCTGCCAATAGACGACTGAATTCCCCTGGATGTTGAACCGTTTGTTTAGTGAGAATGACGTCCTCCTCAACATTCCCTATTCCATATTCTTCAACAATTACATCGTTCCACTTGTTGTAATCGTAATCTTCGCCACTGCCTTCACTATAGTCTATAGTAGGATCGAGGGTACTTCCCCCCATAGATCCATCATCACCTTGATAATCATCATACCCAGCACCATCTTTGTTGTCCTCCTCCTCTTCTTCATCCTCATCTGTTTTATCGTCTTCAATGTCGTCTTGCTCATCTACGGCCTCATTATTTCCATCTACATTTGAAGCCGCTACGATGGGATTTGGTGTCATTGCACTCCCACACACACGGTAACTCTCACCATCGTCACCATCGGTCCTAGGGACAGTATTCCCGAGTTTCTTGACGGTTGTAATGAAAGAGACAAACAAGGTGACACTAGGATCCCTACCACGAATCAAAAAGAAGGTATCCAGGCTCATTTGATTGTCAATGTAGACAGGAGGGCGTTTACTTTCTATCATCACTGACATCTTTCCCGGCATCCAGTAACTAATTATTGGATTGCGTTCGGTGGACTTCAAACTGAAAACCTCGCATAATGTACGTACAAATTCCGTGTACGTCATGTTTTCCTTAACACGTACACAACGACCAAACCAGCCTTCCTATGGTTCAAATTTTCATTCTTCTTCTTTGCATCTCCACTCACCCACCATAGTAAATACGGGAATATCCATTACCTACTTGCATCATAAATTCAGTAGAACCCCATTAAATGCAAATGAAAGCATGATTATATCTACAAAAAACAAAAAGAATTCTCAACTACACACTTATATACATAAATCTATCCTCATTCAGCATTTTCAACTAAAAAAATTGGAAATAAAAATATTCTGGGTTTTTATATAAAAACAATGTTGATTTCGAACACAATCAAGACCCTAGTGTGTTATAACAAAAAACTTCTTAACCAATTTCATTACTTACAAGATCAATGCTTGTCTTGGCTCCAAACTTTGTAAATCAAGAAGATCAAAACTTCTCCAGCATCACATTCATTCAGAATAATTTGTTTGTTTGATTGATTATGTTTATCTCTTACAACTCCTTCAGCAAATAGCTCAGCTAGTCCATCAACATGTTTGATGTCCGCATCATACGACCTCTCCAAACAGTTACATCCTAAAAATGCCTAAATCACATAAGTCTTATACTATGTACGTACACAAAAATATTTATTGGAGCGTACATGGTACAACATTAATTTAATTTTTTGACATCAAAATTAAGTTATTATGTCAGTTATTTGTATGACTGTATTTTTTTCATATGTTGTTCATACATGATTTGAATGTTTTGTTTTTATAATCAAAAAATATTTGAAACGTAAATATACAAATTATTTAGATATTTACGTACATATATACACACACATTACTACCGTGTACGTACACATTATTACCGTGTACGTATATATTATTACCGTTACGCACATATGTGTATATGATATTGCTAATCGTGAATAGTCTTCGATAATAATAAATAAAATATTATTTAAAATAGAAATAAAAATATGAAAATGGGTCTAATAGAAAAAAAAGAATTTTAACTAAAAATATAAAAACAATAAATATTTATAAAATGGAAAAGCGAATCATCTACTGACAAGTGTTTAAGATTTTCAAACTACACACGCCTCTGTGTCACGTTAAAACATACTATTCCTCAATGTTTTTCTTTAGTTGTGAGGTTTGTTTCTACTGCTTCTCGTATTTGACATATGATTATGTAAATTGCGTAACAGAGCTGGAGTTTTGTGAGTCTCATTAGAGTCAATTTGTGTGTTGATCATAGTTGATTTCAATTATTTACTGAAAACAAATTATTAATATTTTTTTAATTGAGTTCGTAGAAAACTTGTATGAAATTGGTAAGATATTTTTGGTAGAAATATGTCCTTATTTGAGTTTTTTCTATTTACGTGTATGTAGTTTACGGTATACACAGTATTGATTATAAAATGGATATGTACTTCAGTTATATCATGTACTATTGTGGAGACGGTGTACGTAATATTTATAGAGTTTGTATTTTAGTTTTTCGACTTCAAAATACGCTAATATAAACTAGATTTACAAAATCAATAAATAAATTAAATGTAAAACAACAAAAGATTATAAGAAAATTGTGAACAGTCAATCGCATAACTGAACCGCATAACTGAACCGTGTACAGTGTACGTAACTGAACCGTACAGTGAACAGTACATCGCATAACTGAACTGCATAACTAAACTGGAACAGTGTACATAACTGAACCGCATAACTGAACCGTACAGTGAACAGTACATCGGTACGCTTGCAGGGGTAAAATGGTCAGATTTTGGCTAAATTGTCAAAACTTGAAAGCCCATTCTCACTTTGCCAAAACATGAAATTAAAACTTGGTCAACTGCCATAACATGCAATTTACCCTAAATTGTACGAGTTCAAACATGCTTTAACCTTACGAAGTTATCAAGTATGTGGAACGAAAAAGACTAATGTACTTGGTTGATAGATGTTGTAAAATAAAAATGTTATAAATGTCTCTATTTAGAACTAAGAAAGTTGAAACGATTATCTCTAAGTACTAAAAAATGGTGCAAGCTTTGTTCTTAGAACTTAAAAAATTAACAGGTTTTTTCAGATAGAAGAAACCAAAAGCATATTATATTGGATCAAATCATTTTTCACTCTCTATCGTCGATCGACTCATTCATAAACTTGAATTTTGTTTTCTTCTTCTTTTGGAGGTCTCTTAGCCCTCAGCTGAAATAATTTGATCTAAATTAATAAGCTCTAATTAGTTGTCCCAAGTTTTTTTTTTTTTTAACAAACCCTAATTTAATACGTGTGTCACTATTACTTATTTTCAACCTTTAGTTTCTAGGTTCTTTTTGCATGACGACTAGTTACGTTCACGTTATTTAACGATGCAAGATACATGCATTTTGCGTTACGGGATGCAATGCGAAACCCAAACCTAATAAATACTAAAAACAAGACCTCTAAGAGAAATATAAAAAACAACCAAATTCCGGACATGAAGATCGTGACATTGGTACTCGTCGTCTTCGTCATACTTTCGATATCATTCCCGGCTGCCATCGTCAAAGCCGCAGACACGGGAGATACAGGAGACACGGGAGATACAGGAAATGTGGGAGTGACATGTGACGCAAGGCAGCTTCAGCCTTGCCTTGCCGCGATTACGGGAGGAGGACAGCCTTCGGGTGCATGTTGTGCTAAGCTTACAGAGCAACAGTCATGCCTTTGTGGTTTCGCTAAGAACCCTGCGTTTGCACAGTACATTAGCTCTCCAAACGCTCGCAAAGTCCTCGTTACTTGTGGTGTTGCTTATCCTACTTGTTGAAATATACACTACTAGAGATTTTATAAATAAATAATTGAAATGAAATAAATTACATTATATCAAACGTTTTATGAAACAGTTTAACCGTTTGTGTTAATGTACTGGCTTACATGGTTAAATAAAGTTTATTTTCTTTTTTTATTTTTATATATTTAATGGAGAAACGGATAACCAAATGCCAAAACACTCCAATAGATAAAATTGAAATATGTGGAATAAACTAATGTTAGCCGAATCTTTGAGAAAAATGGATGATGCCTTTTGACAGATATTTGGAATATCTAAAATGTATGAATTACTAAGCTCATACATCTGCATACAATCGATTTTTTTTTTTCATTTATATTTTGTTTGATTACAAAAATTTCAATCGATTGTACAAATCTTCAAAAGTTAGTATATGGTTGTATGTAGTTTGAATATTTTGCGTAATACAACTGTAGAAAATAAAAGTCATAACATTGAATATTATAAACATCAAAAAAATAATCGACAAAACAAATTACGGCATGCACATAAATCTATGCTAGAACCACATATACCATAGCTTACAAGAAAACCGCTATGGTAGAAGACCGTTCCATACCATATAACAAAAACGCTATAATATAGGTGACATCTAAGATGACTGTCGATAGCACATCGTTTATAAAATTGCTTTATCTACGTACGTAGATGTCGGATTCACACACTTAAATATTTTATATTATTTATGGGTCAAAACTCTCAAAATCAAAAGTACAAGACAATAACGTATAGAAAATAATGTGAATGTTAGTAAAAACGTAGAAAAAAAAAATAGTATTGTATTGATGTATAGCGTAGAACTTGATGCCCCAAAAAATAGTAAATTTTTACAAATATCTATACTCGAGCGTCGAGCTGTCTACGCACCCGAAATGAGATCAAGCCTAGATGTAGTTCGATTACAAATCGAGAAATCGTCAAAAGTTGTTTTCAAAAAAGGATAATTTTTTTCATAGACTCAGTAGATGATATTTGCAATAAAATAGTGATCACTTGTCATACCATGTAGCACTCTTAGAGTTTTGGCAAAATCATCAAGATAAAAACATTTAATATGAATAAAACTGAATTAAAATAGCTTTAGTTTTTATTAACCTTACATAATGTTTAACAATACATTGATTTAGCATAATTGTATTATTCCTAAGAAAACTTTGCAATCACAAAATCATTCATCAAACCATGTATTCTATGTATACACACAACTACCATAACTTGGATCAGCAGTAACGACTTGACCAGTACCACTAAAATTACACGCCTCTTCAGTGCTCCCATGATTCTGGTAGAAATCATTCATCACAAATGATGCATGGCTAAGAACAGTATCTGGATCAAAGCAAACTCCACCGGGATTGATTTTTGCACAGTCAACTTTTCCTTCGCTACATGCATAATCAATATTAGCTTGTAGTTGTGTAGGTGCTGCGGATGTATTTGCCACACACCATGTCTTGGCTGAGACATGAAGGGGGTGGATTACAACAAGAGAGAAAAGAAAGATTAGTGTCAACTGCGGAAACATTGTGGTGTTTTACTTGTGAATGATAATTCAAATGATCTTATAGTATATGTAATATGATAATAATGTGGTGTTTTGCTTGTGAATGATAATAACTCAAAAGAGATTTGCACTATATATAATATGATAAATTTTCTTCTGAAAGTAACTTATTTCCATAATATTTTTGATTTTATTTTATAAATCTTTGACCAATTTATGAAAATTATATTTTTGGTGGAATTGAAGACTAATTGACTAATAAAGTAAATGAAATATTGGAATATGAATATGTTATTCAACATATAATATTAATATTTATAAACTATTACCTTATCTTATAAATTATTTAAATAAAATATTATGAGTTTTTAAGCTAACAATTGTTACCATAAATATGATGTTTTTTTTTTTTTTTTGTCATCCGCAATTAATTAGAACTCAAAAGAGCCATTTCTGAGGAATGTTGTTACATAGGTGATATGATGCGGTTCTGTACGAACATTTCGTGCCAGATTATCCGCCTTAACATTAGCCCTACGAGAAATTAAAGATAAAGAAAAAGATGAAAACTCCTCCTTGTCACTCTGAAATTCCTCCAAATACACTGAAAATGCCGGCCATTCGGTTGGAGAAGACACTATCTTCACCATGTCTGAACAGACTGTAAAGAACGCTACCTCTTGATTATCTGCACCAATCATACACTTCATCGCCCAGAGAAGGGCCTCGACTTCGGCATGTAGTGGAGATAGACTTCTACGGAGGTTCGCAGCTCCCATGGTTGGCGGCTCTCTATTTGACGATGTACAGAACCAGCCTGTACCGGAGAACTTATCACTTTCTTTCCATGATCCATCCACAAAACAACGGTATCCCGAATACTCCATAAATACGATGTTATTTAATTAAAATATGACACATATTTTTATTCTTTTTTGTATAAGAAATTATTTTTAGCCTTCGTTGCCTCTTTGGCCATTGGCCGTGGGCTTCTACAGCCATGACGTTTGTTTGAATATTGTGTGCTTTTTTAAGTTTAAAGTTGTTATTCTTTTGCCTTAAGAGTGGTATGAGTTTAGGGTCCGTTTATATTTTAGAATTTTGAAAGCATACATAGACAAATTTGTATATATTCTAGTGTGGCTAGTCTTTGAGTTGCTATTCTCTGTTAGATTTTGCCGAAATTAGAAACCGATAAAGATATATCTAGATCTTCGAAATTTTTTTTTTTTTTTTTTTTTTTTTTTTTTTTTAAGGATTTTATTCAGTATGGATCTAGAGTTTCGCGACTATTGATTTTCTTGTAGGGTTTGCTTCTCTCTTTCACCCGAGATATTCTTGGCCCTCTCAGCCTCAAACCATCCACTGTAATTTTGGTTTTGAACCAGTTTTTGATGTACTATTTTTAGGTTTCTTCCACTCGAATCAGCTCTCAAATTTGGGCAAGACTTGTTCTGTTTCTAGCTTTTCCTACCGAATCAAAGTCACTTAGCTCGACATCACCAGCACATCCTCTTTCGGCAAGCCTAATAATCCTCTACAGAGGTTTCACTGTTATGTCGACCATTGGATGCTCAAGTTAAGGAAACCCAAATTTATTCTCCATTGTTGTCAGATTCTCTAGCGACATTAGAAAAATTTCCATTTCACACCCCTCTTCAGTGCACCCGTGCAACTGGTAGTAATCATTCATCACAAATGATTCATGGCTAGTAGGATTATTTAGTTCAAAGCAAGTTCCACCAGAATTATTACACAATCAAATAATTTTGGTCTTGAAGCGGTTTTATACAGTCTATTTTTAGGTTATTTTCACTCAAATAATCTCTCAAATTTGGGCGAGACCAGATCAGTTTTTGGCTCTTTCCATCAGAATCAGATCAAATTTACTTAGCTCGACATCACCATCACATCTTCTTCCGACAGTCCTAGTATTCTTTTACAGAAGTTTCATAATCATGTCGACCATTGGATGCTCAAGATTTTCATGTGGATCGGTTAATTCGGTTATTCGGTTAAATGAGTTTCTTAAAAATTTTGGTTCAGTTCACTTATCGATTAACTCAAAATTTTCAAATTAAACTAAAATTAACCGAAATATTTGGTTTTTAGAAAATATTTTGGGGTTTTACCGTTTTAGTGTCCCAAACAATTTTTTTTTTTGCATATTAAATGCTATGGCGGTGAGTGGCAGACTCCCGAGCCACATCGAAGAAGAAAGTTTCAGATTCCTCTACGTCTCCTCCATTCCTCCATAGAAGAAGAAGAATAAGTATTAGAAGACGAATGAGAAGAAGAAGTAATAAGAGTAGTAGATTAGATTTAGATTTTAGAACTAGGTTATAACCCATAACCAAATAACCGATTGGTTCGCCCCGAACCGGACAGAAAAAAACAGGTAACCGAAACTAAATTTAAATGTTGTCGAGGCGATTTAAGACTAGTTGACAAAGGAAGTCAATGAAAAGTATGGAATAATTATAGTTTAGACTATTTTCCAACTTTGGCATCAAGCCAAATAAAAGCTCAAACTAAAGTTCGATATCTATTTTACCCTGAAACAAAAGCTCAGTATGTATACTATGTAAATCTCCCCGAATTAATAGTTCCAGATCTATTAACTCTCAAATCTGAGTTTTGTCGGTTTACTGTTTACTTACCCCATTGTTAAAGAAACTAAACCCATTTAAACAAAAAATAATCACATTTCTCTAATATATCTCTCTCTTCATCTATTAAGTGTTTAAGTGTGAGGTGAGGAACGGGGAAGGAAGAATCGGATCTAAACAAACAGACGTAAGCATATTATCAAATTGATCTGACACGTCCCTAGATTAATTAAGTGTTTTCTTTTATATAACAGCCAAAACTGAAGTGTTATAACAAAAATAATTAAAATTTAAATCCATCTTGTTGGCTTAAAGTCTTAAATTAATTGTGGATTGTGGCAGTTCCAAAACTACACAACATACTCCACAACGATTAATTGTGGGTTTTTTTGGAGTGACAGAGATGAAGAGAGAGAGATTAGAGAAATTTGGTATCTTTGGTTTAATTGGGTTTAGTTTCTTTAATAATCGGTTAAATAAACATAAAACCGATAAAACCCAGATTTGTGGGTTAATAGATCTTGAACTATTAATTCGGGAGATTCAGATATTGAACTTTTGTTTCGGGAGTGAAATAGATATATAACTTTTTCGAAGATAAATAGTTCGGGTCATAATTTGAGTTCCATCTGGCTTGGTGAGAAAAGTTCTCGTTGGAAAATAGTGATGACTTGTGATACCATGTTAGCACTCTAAGAGTTTTTTCACAAATTGTATTCATGTTAACATAATGACTTTGTTGTATGAGAGAATCACAACAAATGTTGATTATAATGACAAAATCATCAAGATAAAAACACTTAATACAACCAAAAATGAATGATAAATAACTTTAGTTTTTATTAACCTTACAAAATGTTTAAAAATACTTTTGATTCCACATAATTGTATTATTCGTTAGAAAACTTTCCAATCACAAAATCATACGTCAAACCACGTCATACCTACAACGACGATAACTTGGATCACCACTAATAATTTGACCAGTATGATTGAAATCACATGCCTCTTCAGTGCTTCCGTGACTCCGATAGTAATCGTTCATCACAAATGATGCATGGCTAGTAGGAGTATTTGGTTCATAGCATACGCCACCAGGATTGATTTTTGCACAGTCGACTTGGCCTTCGTTACATGCCCAATCAATATTAGCTTGTAGTTGTGTATCTGTCGTTTTCATATCCGTACTGTCTTCGCTGTGGATTTTCATACCTGAACAATTTTGTAGGGTATTTTACAACCTAAACTTTAATAAAATTTGAATCTCATACCCTATACTTGATACAACGGGCAAAAATCGGAGTCAATCTAACGGGTGTTAGTCAACTCCGTTACGGTGCGTATCGAAACGACGTCGTTTTGATATGTGTTCTCAAAGTTTTAATTTTTTTTGCAAAACTGGGGACTCGAACCCGCGAGCCGTACTCACATGGGAAGCACCGAATACCAACTGATCCCACAACATTCATCGAGTATTCCTCAATCTTTTTAACGTATAAACCCAAAAAGTTGTGCGAAGCCGTAGTCACATGGTAAAACTTTGTTCATGCCTAATTTCAGAGAAGAAGAAGAAGAAATGAGAAAACGATTTCTCAATTCGTAACTCTAGTATTCATAATTTCTTCCCAATTTAAAACGATTGACTACGGCTCGCGGGTTCATTGAACGTTGTGGGATCTAAGGAAAAATCACACGGTGGTGGAGCCAATCACAACGTTCTGGGAATAGCAAGTGCAGATCTGATTTTGCCAAAGCCATCGTTCATCGCTAACGCTCCCGTATTTTGAATGAGGAGATGACGGTGGAGCCAAATCGAAGGTGGAGACGACGACGGAGACGATGGCTGAGCCGAATCAAAGGTGGAGAGAGATCTAAAGGCAAAGAAGGGAGAGATGGAGGAGATGAAGCAGATCTTCGTCGGATGTGGAGAGTTTCCATGATATGTTAATATGTTTGGTGAAGACAAGTTGTGGATTCGGATCGCCGGAAGAAAGAGAGACGGCGGTGGCGAAAACGGCGGTTGCGTCAACGGCGGTGGCGGCAACGGCGGAGGTTGATTGTGATCGGCGGTAGCACGGAGCCAAGAAAGAAGACGAAGAAAGAATTAAAGAAAGAGAGATCTATTTTGATATATTAATTACTTAATTGTTAAATTTATGAAATTGTTATTATTTTGGGAATTTTTAGTTAAGTTTCATTAAATTTGATTATTTGATCTAAACCTTTTTTTTATATTTTAAATATTATTATTTCACATCAATTATATTTTTTGTTTTAATAAATTTTAAACACATTATATTATTTTCTTAAATAATTTTAATTTTGTTTTATTTTTTATAAATTTATTATGTTATCTCGCAAATCCGTAGCAATAATTGCGAGGGATTTACAAGATAGATTTTGTGAGGGATATGTTACAGAAATTTTTCATTGCAAAATTTGCGAGGGACTTACAACGTTTACCGATTTGCGAGACGCGAATTGCGAGGAACTGACGTTCATCGCAAATTCCTTGCGATTGTCGATTTGCGAGGGATTAGCTAGAAATTCTTCCCTCGCAAAACGCGTGTTTTCTTGTAGTGTTTGGACAAGACCTGCTCAGTTTCTGGCTCCTCCTACTAGATCAAAGTCACTTAGCTCGACCTCACTAGCACATCCTCTTTTGACAATCCTAATAAACTCTCTACATAAGTTTATGTCATGTCAACCATTGGATGCTCCAGAGTTTCATTCCAAAGTCTTGTTTTATCTCCAAAGGAGGTAAGAAAACAGAATTTTCCATAGATAGTTTTTAAAAAGTATTTTTTTGAAAAAAAAAATTTCTCTCTAGAATTTTTATTAATAAGGAACAAAGGGAGTAATAATTTATTGACATACTAGTGCGTTATATTATCAATAATATTTTCTTATTATATTTGTATTACTTGTAATTTATAATATAAAAATGTTATTTGATCTAGGAAATTTAGTTATTGTTCCTTGAATATTGTAATTTCTCATATCTTGAATTTCATTTTTTTGGAATTAGAAACTGAGATCGTTTGTCCAAACCAATAGAATCTGAGAGCTTATGTAGAATTTTGTTACCTTACCAAAAAAAATATTTTTAGGATAATTTTATTAATAAACTTACTAAATGATGATGTTTGCAATAAAACAGTGATGACTAGTTAGTTGTATGAGAATCTTAAAAAATGTTGAATATAGTTCCAAATTCATCAAGATAAAAACACTTAATATGAATAAAACTGAATGAAAACCAGCTTTAGTTTTTATTAACCTTACATAATGTTTAACAATACTTTTGATTAAGCATAATTGTATTATTCCTAATAAAAATTTGCAATCACAAAATCATTCATCAAACCGTATATTCTACGTATACGCACAACCACCATAACTTGGATCAACACTAACGATTTGACCAGTACCACTAAAACTACACGCCTCTTCAGTGCTCCCGTGAGTCTGGTAGTAATCATTCATCACAACTGATGCATGGTTAATAACAGTATTTGGATCAAAGCAAGGTCCACCAGGATTGATGATTACACAATCAATGTTTCCTACACTACATGCCCAATCAATATTAGCTTGTAGTTGTGTAGCTGCCGCCGATGGGTTTGCCACACACCATGTCTTGGCCGAGACATGAAGGGGGTGGATTACAACGAGAGACTAGGATTTAACCCGCGGTATCCCGCGGGCGTAGATTTTGTGCGGTTTTCTTATTAAGTAGTTGATTATGTTTTATATACATAATTTATAAAATTGGTTTTTAAATTAAATCATTTTTAACTAATAAGTGGTATTTTAATTGGTTGGTTGTTATTTAATACTTAGAAGAATGTGATTTAATATATTTAAATAGGTGTATTAATTATAAAATGGGTTTGTAATGTTAATATAAGTAAAAGTAGATATTAAAATGTGAAATAGTAAAAGTGGTGTAATTGTTTTTGTGATTATAAGTGTTCTTTTACTATATAGTTTTGAAGAGAATTTGTTTTTAGCATAACAAAGATTCTAACATTTATAAAAATTTTTTAAAAAATTGAAGATAAAGTAAACAAATAAAATTAAAATTATGTTTTTAAAAAAATTAAAGACACATAAGTTGTGTATTTAAATAAATAAAAAAAACAAAAAAAAACAAAAAAAAAAACATATGAGAACGATGATTCTCGTTCTCCACCGAAAGTTAACACCCATTGACATGCTTAAGCTTTACCGATGATACCGAAGAAGCTGATAATCAGATCATAAGCTCACATCTCTGCGCCAATTCTTCTTAATTTGTAAGCTTCATTCTAATTCAATTGAATTGTTTCAAGATAATTTAGATTCTGTGATCAATTACCTTTTTCAGATTTCATATAGGATTCGGATAAAGCACTTGAGATGATGAATTTGTTTCTGTTAGAAATCTGGGAGAGGGGATCAGTGAAGAACAGAGGATGAATGAAACCATTTGTAGATCAAATTTTGCAAATCGACAACACTTAAAGCAATAATCATTTCTATAAGGTTAGTTTTGGATCTGTTTTTTCAGTTGTAGACACAAATTGAAGTTGTTGTTTGTCTCAATCGGAGTTATAATTGAACTAAGGTTTCTTGATTTTGTTGTCTAGAAATGAACTCTTAAACTTACACTACTGTAGTTGCAGAGAGTCTGATTATGTTTGGATTAAAATGACGATGGAAAGGAACTTGCTGTTCTAAAAAACAATACAAAACATCTACAAAGTTAAATATTAAGATGAAGGATTCAACTTAAAAACATAAAGAACCAATAGGAAAAAAAACAAATGAAAAAACTTATAAAATTAAGAAAAAGTTTTTAGAAAAATATCAAACCAACATAATAAGAACACTGTTCTATGTTTTCCAGTGATTAAAGAAACATTTAAAGAACCATTAAACATTAGATATGAACTGTAAGAAAAACCAATATAAAAACCAATAAAACCAAATAACATTCCAAATTTTAGAAAACAGAAACAAATGTGGAAACTGCTAACATAAACCACTTATTGAAAACACAAATCCAAAAAGAAAAAACATTGTTGGATGTCAACTACTTCATATTCTTGTTCTTCTGCTTAACATCAGAACCCTTGAGCTTGTCCAAATTGACTTTGTCTTCATCAGTGTTCTCTTCATGCTGCTTCACAGCAACACACTCGAGCTTGACTCCATCGACTTTATCTTCATTAGTCTTCACACCCTTCTCTTGCTTTATCTTCACAACGTTGATTGACTCAAGACAAAGTTTCTTAGTTGTAGAAGAATTATCAGCTGGTGACAGAGAACTGTCACTACTCCTCTTAGAAGATGGAGTAGTAGTCTCTGAAGGCTCTCCAGAGTAGGTAAGCAAAAGGCTCCCCTGAGTCTAAACATAATAAGATTAGGATTATTGATATATCGAATTCTTCTCAAATCATAGGGGGTAGGACCTCAGACAATATTTAGAATATTCCATACCTGATCAATTGAATCATCTGGTAGATCTTCCTCTCCAACACAATCATTAGCAAGAACTCTGGATACCTTATAAGTATCCAGTCCATTCCACACATTTTCATTCTCAACACAGACCAGATACTGGTATGTCTTACCAGTCAAATGTCTGATCGCATCAGGTAGGTTCTCTGGGTCCTCAAACTCATCGAAAGATCCATCAAGGAGACTGTTTGCTGGACAGCCAACAATCTCAGTAGCCATACTATCAAAAAGCATCAGCTTCATCTCACCAGTTGAATCCATTACTTTAACATGTAGCTTGTACCTGTTGAGTTCATCGTTACAATTAGACATTTCAGTAACAAATAAATCATTAATATATAAGTAGATTATGAACCATACCTTGCAACCACATTGCAAACAGGTGATCGGCAAGAGTCACACCAGAATTGTGGCTTGAGAGAAGTTGTGACAACCTTAGACACTTTCTTATTGCACTTCCTACAGGCAATATAATACCACGACCAATCTCTGTCAATATCATATATTGTACAGAGCACCTTAACCCTCCCAGTCTGAAAATAGGAACATTTAAAATTTGGTTAGAATCAACTATGCAATCAAATTAGAATGTAAAAGAAAAAAGGAACTATTACATCAAACATCTCAGCGACTTCTTTGATGGTCTTCTTAGGAAACTGAAGATAGAAATCCCCTGTAGGCAGCTCGATCATTTCCTGCTTTGGTTTAGACTCAAGAAGAGTAAGAGCAAGCCCATCTTTTGGTAAACTTTCTTTGAAGGCACCAATCTCAGGGATGTCTGGATTGATCAAGATCTGAGATGTATTGAAAGCATTGGAGATACTCCTTACATCTAGAAAGCAAAACATAAAGAAAGTGTCATCAGCTCAATTTTTAAAAGATTTAAAAAAACTATAAGTATGATATTAATACCAAAACAAAATACCTTTGTAAGTCTTGATCTTAGCATATCTCACCAAACATATGACCATCTCACCAGCAGAAGCTTCACAGGCAGTGAAAACTTGTTCTGCAAATGAACCCCATAGAGTACAGGGTAGCCTTTCATCCCTAAATATTGTAATAGCAATATTAGATTCAAAAATAAGACTCTTTAATTTTAATGCAGACAGAACTAATGAATGAAACTTACGTATGATCCCTCAGTTCAAAATCAATCTTCTTAGTAGGTTTATTTTGCACGTCGATAGTCTCCATTTCACCAACATTAACGATTTGACCGACAACATCTTGAACCAAAAGAGAATAACAAAACGTAAATATATATTGCATAAAGGATTAGATTTGAATGAAAATATAGCTCATATGAAAATGTACCTATCAAGTAGTTCTGGTTGAGACCACCAGTTAAAACATCATTGAAAGGAGTCAATGACAGGTAATAAGAATCAGACAATGGGTCCATCCTCAAAACTCTTGTTTGGGCCATGAATCCCATTTTGTAACGATGATCAGTTGCTTTGAACTGACCAGTTGCATAAGTCAATCCAAAGTTTTCAATAGCCTTCCACTCTCCTGGAACCATGAGCTTCTCAAAACGGTTGAGATGCTCTCTCTTCACAGACGCATGGATCTTCTTGCCCTACCATAGAAATAGAAGTATATTAGTATATCATTAGACAACTTACTTTAATATATTGAACTCATATAGACATGACAAAGAATTCTTACTTTGACATCAGACAGAACCATGTCGAAAGTCTCACCAAACTTTGTGGTAAATGTCTTCCAGGTATGAAGGACACGGACCTGAACTCTCCAAGTGGTTTTGTATGGTTTGATGTCATCGAGGTAAGCAATTGCTTGAGTCATTTGTGATATCTAAATAAGAAGGATGCTAAGGTTAGAGGAATTTGAGTGATGGATTGGAAATGAGAATGACGTTGATATTTATAGCATTCTAGGATGCTAGGGTTTTTGGCTCCAATACTTTTAAAATCTAGGAGAATATCTTGGAGACAAAGCATAAAATCAAAGATACTATTAACAAAATATATTCGAATTTGGAATAGAATTGAATGATTGGCTATATTTAGATAAATGATGAATATTGTAGAGTTGGTTATGGTTAGGATTATATTTATGAGAGATAGTAATTACGATTTTTTTGGGATTAGGCAATATATGATCGAATTTGCAGTTATTATGAGAGATAATTACATTGAATTTGCAGTTATTATGATCGAATATGCTCATATTTAGATACCAAAAATGAACTAAATTTACAAAATAATTTGAACGGCTTAGATTGACTTATGTGGATGCTAAACCCGATTAAGAACTTGACTATGTGATTAAGAGTTAATTACTCCTAACCCACCCGAGTATTAACACGCGGATCTCTTAAAGTTTAATGAAACTTTATGACCAAAATGCCCTTGTCGATTTTGATTAACAAAGAACAAAATCCAAAATTGAAATTGAAATTGAGGCTAAATTTGACTATTTTTCAATTTGTACTTCCCTTTTAATAATAAGGGGATAGAAGGAATATTAGTGTTAATTGCGAAAACATTGTGGTGTTTTGCTTGTGAATGATAACACAAATGAGATTGCAATATAAATAATATGATAAAATTTCTTTTGGAAGTAATTTATTTTCCATACTATTTTTATTTTATTTTATAAATCTTTGACCAGTTTATGAAAGTTTGTGTTGGGATTTAAGACTTATTGACTAATGAAATGTTAATATGTTATTCAACATATAATTTTATAGTTTATAAACTCTTACCTTATATTATAAATTACATATCTAAAATATTATGAGTTTTTAAGCTAGAAATTTTATCATAAATATTTTAACACTTGAGAAATTTTTTTTTAACTTTTTCTAGTTCATTTTTTATGTTTCACCTTTGACTTGCCTATGTAGCGGATGGTCGTGGTCTTCCACAGACATGGTGTCGGTCCCAATTTTGTGTACATTTTTAATGCTATAGCCTAAAACATGATCATAATGCTAATTTTAGCATTAATAAGTACATGTGAATAGAAAGTTTCAAACAACAATTAAATCATCGAATCTTAAAATCCCCTACTTAGAATCCTAAAATCCAATTAGAAAACTATTCATACATATATAAGAGACAACATAAATCAATGAAGAAAACGTAATTGTATTGTAATAAAATTAAGAAAAGGGAGAAATCTTCTCCAATTGTCAAAAAGAAGAATTCCTTTGCGCAAAGATGAATACCGAACAAAGAACAACTTTTAGGACTTAAAAGTATGAAAGAGAGTAACGAGTTAGGTCGGATCTGGAGTGAATCGGGTCGAATCTAGATTTAAAATATACTCTAAGCCTAAACTCTGAAACTGCTAAATCGGACATCTCTTGAATGCACCATTAAATTTTGTTCAAATCCCTTGAAAATGAAAGCTAACATCGTTATCTTTTTTGTGACGAAATACAAAAGTGCTAATGGTTGAAAATCGAAATCCTCCATCTGAGTCAAAACTTCTGATGCTTTGACATGATCATGCATCTCCTAATGTGTGTTTACATACCAAAATTGCTTGTTTTCCTCTGAACCAACCTAAAACTTATAGGAACTCGAGAAAGGACTAAAAGTCTCTAATAACACTTTGACTGAACAAAATATATGAAATAAAAAAATAAAACAAATCTCAAAACCAATAAAAATATGATATATCAATATGGCATTTTAATTTGATTTGATGTCGGTGTATATATTGTGGTGTTGCTAGTCTTTGAGTTATGTTTCTCTGCTGGTGTTTGCTAATTAGATGCTTGTATGGATATGTCTAGATCTTCGGATTTTATTCAGTATGGATCTAAAGTTTTGGGACAATTGATTTTTAAAGTTTTTTCTTCTCTCATTCCTAATAGATTTTTGCCTGTTCAACCTTAAATTATCCACTAAATTTTGGGTTTTGAGCCAGTTTTACACGGCTTAAGTTTAGGTTTCATCCACTCAAATCATCCCTCAAATCAGGGCGAGATCTGTTAAGTTTCAGGCTCCTCCTACCGGATCAAAATCACTTAGCTCGACATCATCATGACATCTTTGTCTGATAGTCCTAACTAATAATCCTATACGAAGGTTTCATTGTCATGTCGACCATTGGATGCTCAAGATTTTTATATCCAAAGTCTTCGTTTATTACCAGAAGAGGTAAGAAAACCGAATTTTCTTCTCCGCTGTTATGAGATTTTCTAAGGATATTAGACAAAAATTCATTTTCAGATTTTTTGGTGAAAAGTATAAGTTCTAAATCTTGTAGTTAGATTATTAGTTTCTGTTTTTAGTTTGTTAAAAGTTTTTATTCTTTTTCGATTGGGTTGATGTCTCTGGAAATATCTTATTTTCTTATATGGCTTAGTCTCTGAAAATGTCTTTTCTTTTTCTACCCGCGTATGTAATTCCACCTCATTTTAATATAACCTTCTAGATGAACAAACAAAAAAAGAACATTTAGTTTTTTCTTCTTAACACTAAGGTGCTATCTAGAGAAATAATTTTCTAAATTATGTCGATTCAATTTTTCTGCAAAATATAAATGTTTCATCCAAATGAATTGAATTATTTTTACTCTACCAACTTAGCTCAATTCTTATTATTTATCTAGACCTTAAGTTTAACAGATATAGAATACTGTATCTTAAATAACTATACCATAAAAGATATAGTTCCACAAGACTACTCTCTGCGAAGATGTTTCTTAGGTGGCTGAAGGAAGTCTTACGTCTTTACTGATCGGAGGAAAATCATCCCAACAATCATAGGAAGAAAATCACATTCTGAAAATTTTAAAAAATCTGATAAGCTTCGATACTCAAATTATACTCAAATAGTATAACTTTAAAATAGTATGACACTGAAACTATACTAAAATAGTATGATTCGGATCGAGATGTTTAGATAAGAGTATCGTCAAATGAGATGTCTACATAAGAAAGTGGTACCAAAAACAAAATTGCACGTTTTATGATACTGAAACTATAGGAATAAACCCATATAAAAAAAGTTTTATATGATAAATTAGATATCGAAGTAGGAAAATTACATGTTTATCGAAAAGTCATCCGTTATGTAACTATCAAAAAGGTTGAAATTCACTCTTGTTCGCTAGAGTATATAAAAAAATCTTATTTTCTTAAATATTACGTTATTCATTGTCAAAAAGTACAAATTTCCTTTTATACTATGGAGTTCTTTTATTTTTATTTCTGAAAGTTCTCATAGTTCAAAAAATCCATTTTCTTTAGATCAACTTTCCTGAAACCACTAATTGCTACAAAATTTCTATTTAATTTATTCACCATTCGAAAAGCAAGATCATATTATATACTCGTCGCATAGGAAAGCATGTTGCTATATAATTTTACATATATCATAATATTAATTTAACTCAGCGTAGCTAGGAAGCAAGATCTTATTAAATTCATTGATTCTTGACTGATGCAAAATATTTCTAACAAATTATGATTCTTCTACCAACATCTTCACTCTTCAGTGAGTCATCTGTTTTTTTTTTCTTGAACTGAAGTACTCTTTACTAAATTTATGTAATATACCTCCCTTTCTTGGCGTTAGAAGTTGGAAGCTCTTAAGTCTCAAGAATTGACTATATATAGGTAGAAAAAAAAAACCAAAACAAAAAGACGAACATTTGATTATATAGCCAACAAGATAGAAAAGAATCGATAATTTTATCCAAAAAGAAAAGAATCAAAATCTTAGTCCCCTATTAATGACTCAATGACCCAACCCTCATCAATTGGATACCTTTAAAATGTTATTTAAAGGTATAGGAAATTTTAAACAATTGTATTTTTTATTTTGACCCTGAAATAAACGTGAGAAAAGTTTAATACAACAAGAGTGTTTTCATAATCATTCAATCAACATCAAAATAAATAGTTAACTGCAATTATTGTTCCCTCCTTTGCTATAAATTTACCTTCAGTTTTCTCTCCCACTCTCAACTCAAAATCCACACTAAAGCTTTTTGAATAACGAAGAGATCCCGTACATAAGTTTGTACATCCCCTCAGGTCGGGGATTAGATATTTTATATGATTTCCTCCAAAAATATTACTCGAACCGGCGATCTCTAGCTTTTGCATGAAAGTCTTTACAAGTTGAGCTATTGATACATGCACGTTTTATGATACTTAGGCTTTGAATGGTTAGTCCATATGATGCGGACTGGATACTACTCCAATTTTAGTCTGCTTTGCAGCATACTAGACAACCATTAAAAGCCTTAATAACTGAAATTGTAGGAGTAAACCCTTATAAAAAGGTTTTATTTGATAAATTAGATATTGAAGTAGAAAAATGCAGATTTTTGCAATTTTATATTTTACTTCCATAAAATGCAGATTAATCCTACGAAAACGGAAATAATACGCAATATAGTCTTAATACATATATTAGAAACGTTTTCACGGTAATATGCATTGGATTCTTCTCGAAAAAAGACTACATTGCGTATTATTTTTGACTTCGTACAAATTAATTTATATTTTTTGGAGATAGAGTATAAATCAGCAAAAATTGGCAAGTTAGATAGCTATTTTATTTTCACTAAACCCAAATATAAAAATTACATCCTTATTGAAAAGTCATCCGTTATGTAACTATCAAAAATGTTGAAATTCACTCTTGTTACCTAGACTATATAAAAATTGTTACGTTTTTCATTGTCTAAAAGTAGAAATAACCTTTTATATTATGGAGTTGATCAACTTTCCTAAAACCACTAATTATTACAAATTTCCTATTTAATTAATCCACCATTCGGAAAGCAAGATCGTATTATATACTCAGCCGCGCATAGGAAGCATGTTGCTATATATAATTTTACATATATTCACCATGTGAGAAAATATATATTATAACATTAATTTAACTCAGCGCAGGAAGCAAGATTTTATTAATTTAACTCAGCCAACAAGATGCAAAAGCGTCGTTAATCAGTTAATCTTATCCAAAAAGAAAAGAATCAATAATCTTAGTCCCCTAATGAGTCAATGACCCAACCCTCATCATTGGATACCTTTGAAAATGCCTTGAAAATGTTAATTTAAAGGTATATGAATTTTTTTAAAGCAATTGTATGTTTTCTATCTTGACCTTGAAATAAACGTGAGAAAAGTTCAATACAAACAAGAGTGTTTTCATAATCATTCAATCAACATCAACATAAATAGTTAACTGTACCCTCCTCCTCCGCTATAAATTTACCTTCAGTTTTCTCTCCCACTCACAACTCAAAACCCACACAATATCTTGTGTCTTAGTTCCTACACAACATAGAAGATGGGAAATCCTAGCGTGAATGATCTCTCTCAAATCCTCCCTCGTGTCCTTGTCGTCTCTAGACGCACTCTTCGCAAGAACAAATTTGTCGATTTCGTTGGTAATAATCATTTTGAAAGATCCTTAAAATGTTATATTTTTGTTCTTACATTTTCCCCTTGATTTTTCATATATTTAATTATATTTGATTGTTTTTCTTTAGGTGAGTACCATCTTGATCTTATAGTCGAGAACGGTGCTGTACCGGTGATTGTACCACGAGTGGCTGGTGTTCACAAGTTGCTAGAGAGCTTCAAGCCTATCCATGGAGTTCTCCTTTGTGAAGGAGAAGACATCGACCCTTCTCTATACGAGTCTGAAATATCGTCCCTTTCACTTCAAGAACTCGACGAGATTCGGAAAACACATGCAAGTGATACAGCTATCGACAAAGAAAAAGACTCTATTGAGTTTGCCCTCGCAAAGCTCTGCCTAGAACAGAACATTCCTTACTTGGGGATTTGTAGAGGTTCACAGGTAAAGTATCCTTCTATTAGATTTTATCTCTCCGTTGATTAGAGAACATAATTTAAAACTTTTTTTGTTTTTTACATAATTTAAAACTTGATTTAAAAAAAAAAAAAAAAAATTGGCCACTTTTTTTTTTTTTTTTTTTGGTTTAATGTTAAAATTGGCCACTTAAAGAATGTATAGTGGCCAAATAGAGTCACAGTGGGTAGGACTCGATCTTTGGCTTTGACTAATTGAGTGAGTTCTTAATTTATTGGAACACCATGGTTGATTAACGATGTTAATGAAACATGTAGGTTTTGAATGTTGCTTGTGGTGGAAGTCTTTATCAAGACTTGGAGAAAGAGGTCACGATCAATGTTTCTGAGGAACATAGAAGAAATCATATAGATTATGATGACTATGATGGTTATAGACATGAGGTGAAGATAGTAAAAAACAGCCCTTTGCATAAATGGTTCAAAGATTCTTTAGATGAAGAAAAGATGGAGATCTTGGTCAATAGTTATCACCACCAAGGGGTTAAAAGATTGGCGCAAAGATTCGTGCCAATGGCTTTTGCTCCTGATGGATTGATCGAAGGGTTTTATGATCCCGATATGTACAATCCTGAAGAGGGAAAGTTCCTAATGGGTTTACAGTTTCATCCAGAGAGAATGAGAAAGAATGGTAGCGATGAATTTGATTTCCCTGGTTGTCCTGTTGCTTATCAGGTTTGTGATTGAGTTCATTTTTTAAAATAACATGCATTATGCGAGTTTAAACATGGATGGTGACAGATCAACAACACTAACACATACCTCTAAACTATACTTGGTCTTAGGAATTTGCAAAAGCAGTGATTGCATGTCAAAAGAAGCTTGTTCCTAAGAAATTAGAACTCAATCAAGAAATGGAGAAAAAAAGAAAGATACTTGTCAGGAGCTTCTCGCTTGCGAGGTCTATGTACACAAGATCTTATTCGTTGAATAACCAATCCAGAGAATCAGAACTTGACGTTGGAGCTGAGTTTCTTGAGGTACATAACACCAAACTGTTTTATGTGCATTAAACATGATCTTGATCCATACTATTATTGCAAAGGCCAAAAAGATTAGGAGTCATATTTTGACCTTTCGTATATTGAATCGTTAATAATAAAAAGGTTTTTTTTTTGTCGGCAAAGGTTAATAACTTCTTTTTATTTTCCTTCTTTTTTTGAAATTAATAACTTTAGGGTGGACATTTGTTTTTTCATTTTGATATATTTATTGTTTGGTTGGTTTAGCTTCGGATTAGAAAAAATGAAAGACAGAAATAAACCATAATTATTATTATAATTAATTTATAGAGTATATTTTGCATAAACAGTTATAATTAAAATTATGAACTTAATATAAATTTTTCTATATGATTCGATAAAACTATGTTTGGCCTGTTCCATTTTCCGGCATAAGAATGATGTTAATGAATTTTTTTCTATATTACTATTTGGTTTGATTAACATAATAATGAATTATGATGACTTCCAAAGTCTATATAAGTTCGACTTAATGACCACACATTTTTGGTTTTTTTTTTTTTTTTATGTGGCTGCAGTCAAATACCGCTCTAAGTGTACAGCAAGAGATGAGGCTAAAGGAGATGGGAGCGACGATGAGGAACGGTGGATCATTTACGGAAAAGCTTAGACTTGATGAAGAGAAGCAGAGGAAGGCTATGAACATAATGAAGAACATGAACGTTGAGCGACTCTCTGAGCTCATGGCTTTCTACCACTTGATGGGGAAGATCTCTAGTGAGGTGTTGGAGAGAAAGCTACGTGCCTCAGTCAATGACCTCAATCTCACTTCTCAATGACGTCTCAAAATCGATATGATGATGATGATGTTGATGATGATGATGATGATGAATGTTTAAATTTGGCTTTTCAAATTTTTTCGTGTGTTTAAAGTTACTTTGTGCATGATTTATGTCAATAAGTATACGACTTGCAATGAAAGATTGGTTGATGACTCAATATTTGGTTGTTGCGTTTTATTTTAATATTTGTTTTATGTTTAGTGTATACATTCTCTATATCAACTTGTAGTGAAATTTTAAACGATAAAAATGTGTTCATTCTAATTTCTAAACATAAATGCCAAACACAAACGAATTATTTTGCAAGTCCCTCTTTTTTACATCTAAATGCAAATAGAAATGTAAACTTAGTTTTGAAACAATGGAAGCTAAGTGTAACTCAGGAGTCAGGACCAAAGAAGATGGCTATTGATGTGATGAAGTGGAATAAAGCATGATTCATAAAATGATTAACAAAATTAGTGGCAGACCCATGATTTTATTTTACCAAGGTCAAAATATAAATTTAAAAAATCGCCTTTAATATTAAAATAAAAAATCGACAAAAGGTTCGTGCAAAACAAAGAAACAACCTACTAAAGGTGTTTACTGGGATATACTCTATATGTTCCTTACTAATCCAATTTTTCTTAACTTTTCACATATTAAATACTGGTTATAAATGCATTTTTTTATTACCAATTTTCTATAACTCTAAACTAATAATAATAAATTATTTTTGTTGAATTTTACAATTCATAATCAATAACTGATAAAATTGCATAGAAAAATTTAAAAATATATCTTTTTGAACGAAATTTTTTTTTTTTTAGAAATTGGATTAATAAGGAACAAATAGAGTAATAGTTTATAAACATACTAGTGTGTTATATTATAAATAATATTTTCTGTTCATATTTGTATTACCTTTAATTTATAACATATAAATATTATTTGATTTTGGAAATTTAGTTATTGTTCCATAAAATAGTGTATTTTCTGAGATATTGAATTTCATTTTTTGGAATTAGAAAATGAGATTGTTTGACCAAACCTAAAGAAATTGAGAGCTTAGGTTAGTATTTTTTTTCCTACCAAAAAAAGTATTTTTAGGATAATTTTATTAATAAATTGACTAAATGATGATGTTTGCAATAAAATAGTAAGGACTTAGTTGTATGAGAGAATCACATGAAATATTGAATATAATGCCAAATTTATCCAGATAAAAACACTTCATATGACTAAAACTGAATGAAAAATAACATTACTTTTTCTTAACCTTACATAATGTTTAAAACTACTTTTTATTCGGCATAATTGTATTCTTCCTAAGAAAACTTTGCAATCACAAAATCATTCATCAAACCATGTATTCTATGTATACACACAACTACCATAACTTGGATCAACAGTAACGATTTGACCAGTACCACTAAAATTACACGCCTCTTCAGTGCTCCCATGATTCTGGTAGAAATCATTCATCACAAATGATGCATAGCTAAGAACAGTATCTGGATCAAAGCAAACTCCACCGGGATTGATTTTTACACAATCAACTTTTCCTTCGCTACATGCATAATCAATATTAGCTTGTAGTTGTGTAGGTGCTGCAGATGTATTTGCCACACACCATGTCTTGGCTGAGACATGAAGGGGGTGGATTACAACAAGAGAGAAAAGAAAGATTAGTGTCAATTGCGGAAACATTGTGGTGTTTTACTTGTGAATGATAATTCGAATGATCTTGTAGTATATATAATATGATAATAATGTGGTGTTTTGCTTGTGAATGATAATAACTCAAATGATATTGCATATATATAATTTCATACAAATATTCTGAAAGTAATTTATTTTCCATAATATTTTATTTTATTTCATAAATCTTTGACCGATTTATGAAAGTTTATGGTGGACTTTAAGATTTATTGACTTATGAAGTAAATGAAAAATAATGGAATATTAATATGTTATTCAACAAATAATATTAATAGTTTATTAAGTATTACCTTATATTATAAATTACTTAACTAAAATATTATGAGTTTTTAAGCTAGCAATTGTTATCATAAATACAATATTATTTTAATTAAAATATGACATATATATATATAATTTATTTTAATTTAATTTTTAGTGTACGCAATTGACTTGCCTATTTGCCAGATGGTTTTGGGCTTCCACTGGCATTATGTCAGTCCCAATTTTGCGTACTTATTTGAAATCAAACTTATAATCTAAAACAGGATTAAGCCAATTTTAGCATTAAGAACATGTGAATCAAATAACTTAAAAATAGAAAATTTCAAACAACAAATAGATCATCGAATCACAGATACTTCTACTTAGAATCCTAAAACTCAATTAGAAAACTATTCACACATATAAAAAAAAGGACAACACAAATCAATTAACAAGACATAATTGTATTGCAATGAAATTAAGATAAGGATTAGAAATCTTCTCCATTGTCAAGAGGATGGATTGCTTAGCTCAGAAATGAATAACATACAAAGAGTCGGGTCTGGAGATGAGTCAGGTTTGGAGTGAATCATGTCGAACCTGGACTTTGTAAGAAGGTAAACTCCGTACCCTTTGCTATACATTATCAAGAGTATATATAGGTTACAAGAGATCGTATCTAGGGTAAATGTAAAAGGAATCTTTACATTTTTGATATATACTCTAACACTCCTCCTCAGTCTAAGCTGCAGATGTTCGAATGCTTAGACTGTCTCTGAAATCAAGAAATAATGACGATGGGAGACCTTTGGTAAAGATGTCTGCAAGCTGTCGCGCCGATGGTACATGAAGAACTCGGACCTGACCAAGCGCAACTTTCTCACGAACAAAATGTATATCGATTTCAATGTGCTTGGTGCGCTGATGTTGAACAGGATTGGAAGACAAATAGATGGCAGAAATATTGTCACAATATACTATCGTTGCTTTGGGTAAAGAAATCTTCATCTCCATAAGCAGTGTTCGCAGCCAAGTTGTTTCAGAAACTGCATTAGCAACTCCGCGGTATTCCGCTTCAGCACTAGATCGAGAGATAGTGGGCTGTCTTTTGGAAGACCATGAGATGAGGTTATCACCGAGAAACACACAATAACCCGACGTGGAGCGACGAGAGGATGGACAGCCAGCCCAATCTGCGTCTGAGTAGGCAACCAAACCCGTAGTAGTAGAGCGATAAAGATGAATGCCATGTCGAATGGTGCCTTTGATGTATCGAAGAATCCGTTTAAGTGCTGAGAAGTGATGCTCACGAGGATCGTGCATAAACAAGCATATCTGTTGGACTGCGAATGAAATATCCGGACGAGTAAATGTAAGATATTGGAGCGCACCTGCTAAGCTACGATATAGAGACGGGTCCGAGACAGGTGGGCTATTAGTAGCATCAAGTTTTTTCTTAGTATCTGCTGGTGTGAGACAAGGGTGGCAATTGGTCATCATGGCGCGGTGAAGTATATCAGCTGCATAATTTTGCTGGTGGAGAAAGAGTCCTTTATCATTACGGTGAACAGAAATACCGAGGAAATGATGAAGATTTCCAAGGTCCGTCATATCAAATTCCTTACTGAGACTGGAAATGACACGGTTGAGAAGAGTAGATGACGAAGCCGTGAGAACAATATCATCAACGTATAGGAGAAGGTATGCAAGATCAGAACCATGGCATAGTATAAATAGCGAGGCATCAGAGGAACTCTGTTTGAAACCGATAGTACGAGCATATGTGGCAAACCGATTGTACCAAGCACGTGGAGCTTGCTTAAGGCCATAAAGAGAGCGTTGAAGAAGACAAACATGGTCCGGTTTTGAGGCGTCAACAAAGCCAGGGGGTTGATGCATATAGACCGTCTCTTCAAGATCTCCATGTAAAAACGCATTTTTGACATCAAGTTGATGAAGAGGCCAATCACGAGACGTAGCAACGCTGAGGACTGTGCGAATGGTGGCGGGCTTCACGACAGTGCTGAATGTTTCATCGCAGTCAATGCCCGGTTGTTGAGATTTTCCATTCGCCACAAGTCGAGCTTTGTATCTAGAGAGAGTCCCGTCTGCATTAAATTTGTGCCTGAACAACCACAAAGAACGAATAATATTAGTAGCAACTGGTCGTGGGACAAGTCTCCACGTTCCACGTTTAATAAGAGCATCATACTCTTCTTTCATTGTAGGATTCCAATATGGATCCTTAGCAGCCTGAACATGTGAAATAGGTATGGGAGAAATTGTGACATCAGAGTGAAGGCACAATGGAGTGCGTGGTTTAACGATTCCACTTTTACTGGTGGAGAAGGGCTTTTTATTGGTGGAAGGAGAAGTTGAATTGGTCATGACGACACAAAGATGAACAGAGAAGAAATATTAAAGAAGAGAAAGATGAAGAAGAGGAAAAAGAGCGGAGAGGATCGATCGCTTTAGCTTGGGGGCTAGGGTTAAGCGTCTGATACCATGTAAGAAGGTAAACTCCGTACCCTTTGCTATACATTATCAAGAGTATATATAGGTTACAAGAGATCGTATCTAGGGTAAATGTAAAAGGAATGTTTACATTTTTGATATATACTCTAACAGACTTGAAAACGCATCTGGAAACAAGACCGGACAGTCTTACACACTCTGTGATGAAAAACAAGCTTCTAAGGAATGGACCAATTGATCTCTTTGATGGATCGATCGGTCCTTCATTCTTTGACCCCAAACTTTGAAGCTGCTTCAATTGCTCGCCATAACGACATGTCTTCGCCCAATCGGATATAACTCTTGAATGCACCGTTAAATTTTGTTCAAATCACTTGAAAATGAAAGCTAATATCCTTATCTTTCTTGTGGTCAAATATAAGGAAGCGGTAACGATGAAAACTCTTCAATCTGAGGCCAAACTTCTTACGTTTCAACATGATCATGTGTCTTCTAATGTGTGATTACATTTCACAATGGCTCTTTTTTCTCCGAACCAACCTAAAACCTATAAATAACTTGATGAAAGACTAAAAGTCTCTAAAAACACTTTAACTGAATTAAAGATATCAAATAAGAAAGAAAACATGTATTCAAAATCGATAGGGTTTATGACTAAAGATCTTATTAATTTCTTACGGCTTAGTCTCTGAAGGTATTTTTTTTACCGGTGTATGTAATTCCACATCACATTAATATAATTTTCTAAAAAAATATTTAGTTTATTATTATTATTTTCTTCCAAACACTAAAGTACTCAGGGAAATAATTTTGTAAATTATGTGGATTTAATTTTTCCAAAAAATATAAATGTTTCATCCAAATGACTTGAAGTATTTTCACTTAACCAAATTCTTATTATGTATCAATATACAGGTATCATCTAGACCTTAAGTTTGAAATATCTTAAACATAATCGTTTCAGAAGACTCTCTTCAATGACGTTTCATAGGTGGCTGGAAAATCACATTCTTAATTTTCTTATACAATAAAAATGGAATTGCCGAACGGATTCCATTACCTCGTAGGATGTTCTTACCCACTAAAATACTTGGCATTAGAAATTACAAGCTCTCAAGTCTCAAGAATTGACTATATATAGGTTAAAACTAATAGACAAACAATTGATTATATAGCCAACAAGATACAAAAGAATCGATAATCTTATCAAAAAAAGATTGACTTAATGACCATGGACACATGTTTGGTTTTCTTTGATGTGGCTACAGTCAAATACCGCTCTAAGTGTACAGCAAGAGATGGGAGCGACGATGAGGAACGGTGGATCACTACGGCTATATAATGAAAAAACGTTTGATCATAGTGTACGAGAGGAAACCAAAACTATTTTCAAAAGACATCAGTAACTTTCAAATAACGATTGATAAATTTAATATTCCACAGAAACTTTAGATTTTATCTATTACGTCGAAAACATGTTTGATCATCTTTTGAAAACGAAACACGTCCATCTTTTACCTGCAATTTCCAATGAAATAATATTCGGATTTTCTCTTCCTTTGCAATTCTCACGAAGTACGTCAAAAGAGAGTTGCAAAGGAAGAGAAAAACTATGACTAAGATAGTAATGCTTGTTTGCGAGAAGTTTTTGTCAATCTCCTAATTTTCAAATATAAGAGGGTATGCTAGATTTCAATGAATCAGATTCATACACCGAGTTATCGAATTCGTGGAATGAGTTTTCTTCGTTAGTGAGATTTGACCGCGATAAATATCAGTAGATATGTTTGATGGAGACAAATCTGAATTGGTCGGCAGGTGTGAGCCGCTTTGACGGTGTGAGTTTTTGGGAAACGGCAGGTGCCGCATACTTCCTTCCGTACTAGTACATTTAATGTGGTATGGTTCCGTGTCTTGTCCAACGTTAAATAGTTTTCGTGTGTCTTGAATAAAAGTTATAAAACTATATATGTACCACAATATCGTCCATCAATTTAAACAGTGTTCCCAAAATAATCCGCATTTTGGAATTGATCCGACCCTAAAAGCATTGGACATTTTACAAAACACCTACATGCACCATGTAATGTTTTGGAAATTTCCTTAAATAGAGAATTTAAAAATAGTAAGGAAAATTTTCCAATTTTTAAGCTTTGAGAAAAGAAAAAGAAAAATCAAAACAAGACAAAGGGCAAAAATCTTTTCGAAGTAAACTAATACTGACATCCCAAGTCTTCGCTTCTGTCACTATCCTCACTTGACTTAGTCCTCAGGCCCATCACCTTCCAACCTCATCTTTTATGCTTATCTCTTTTTTGTTTAATTCATTTCCTCTGCTCTTTTCAACATAAACTAAACCCAGAAGACACTTTGTTCATATCTCAAACAAATCATGTACAACTGCCCCACTTCATGTCTTGTTCTGTTCTTCCTCTTCTCCTTAAACCCTCTTACTTGTTCTTCAAGTATACAAGAACTTCGATTATGTGAGACTCTGTTTCAGTGTGGAAATATCACCGCTGGTTTCCCCTTCTGGGGAGGGAATCGTCGAAAACAGTGCGGTGTTCCATCGCTGGAGCTTCACTGCATCAAAAACATCACCTCTTTATTCATCTCAAGTCAAGAGTTCTATGTTTTACATCTAAATCAAACATCAAACACACTTACACTTTCCAGAACAGACCTTTTAGGTTCCATTTGCGACTCTACGTTCACTACAACAACCTTGCCTCAAGAAAATTTTGAGCTTTCGCCAACTTACAAGAGCCTCACCGTTTTCTACTACTGCTTCCCTTACACTCATTACCTTTCGGAGTATATATGTCCTATGAGAGGTTCTATATTTATGTCTCAAAACCCTGATCAGTATCATACCATCTGCGGTGACACTTTCACCGTGTATGTTCCTATGAGTTTTGTTGCAAGAAAAGAGTTCAATATGACCAATTTGGAAAGTGTTTTAAGTAAAGGTTTTGAAGTAAAAGTGAAGATCGATGATATATCATGTCAAGAATGTTTATACTCTCATGGAAGTTGTGGCTTCAACGAAACCTTTCCATTAGGAGCTAAATGCAGTCCACTCAATCCACCACCACCAACTAGTAAGTTTCTTATGCATCACAATCATTTCATATCCATTTTCTTTAAGAAAATCGAGATATTTATTGAATCTTTCTCATTCTTTTATTTTTAACCCTTTACTTAGGCATATCAAACAACTACAGTAGTAGTAAGCTATGATTTTAACTTATACATATATACTAAAAATTATTAAATGAAAAATTTAGTGTATATTCAATTGATTATAAGGGAATAATTAGCAAAATTTACCTTTTCCCACCACTAAGAATGTGTACTTGAACCTCCAAATTTTCTCACAAATTTATATTTATGAATTTTTACCTTCTATTATACATACTTTATTATATTTTGACCCCAATAAAAAAGATTTCTGAGTCCACCACTACTGCTTAAGACATTTTTCATGCTCTATAGTCTTTATTATGTTCCCGCAACATCATGATTCACGTACTAAATAGAATTTTTTTCATTTTAGCTTAGGGAATAGGAAAAAGAAACAAGGAACTAAAAGTCTTGTCAAAGTAAACTAATGACATCCCAATTAGTCTTTGTTTCTGTCACTATCCTCACTGACTTGGTTCTCACGCCCTTTAGCGTTTCCACCTCATCTTTATGCTTATCGCTCTGTCTTTATATCTCTTTGTTTAAATCACTTCCTCTGCTCTTCTCAACACAAACCAAAACCATAAAACACGTTGTTCATAGATCAAACAAATCATGTACTATCCCCTCAGTTCTTGTTTGATGTTCTTCATCCCCTTCTCCTTATTCTACCATCTTCCTTGTGCTGCAAGTAAGTGTGAGAGTCTGTTTCAGTGTGGGAACATCACCGCGGGTTTCCCCTTCTGGGGAGGGAATCGTCACAAACATTGCGGTCATCCATTGCTAGAGCTTCGCTGCAACCAATACAACAGTACCTCTTTATTCATCTCAGACCAAGAGTACTATGTTCTCCATGTAGATCAAACATCTTACAATCTTACACTTGCCAGAGACCTTTTAGATTTCTTTTGCTCCTTTACATTTACCAACACAACCTTACCATCAGAAATTTTCGAGATTTCGTCAACCTACAAGAGCGTCACATTCTACCACCATTGCGAACCTTATCTTCCTTACCTTTCTAAATATACTTGTCCTGGGATAGGACCTCCGATCACAGTTTCTGGAAACCCTGAATATCATGAGTCCTGCCTTGCCAGTTTCACCACGAACGTTCCAAAGAACTTTCTTCTAGAAGAGAAAGAGTTGAATATGAGCAATTTGGAAAGAGTTTTAAGAAAAGGATTTGAGGTGAAGGTGAAGATCGATGAGAAAGCATGTCAAGAATGTTTGTCCTCTCATGAACACTGTGGCTTCACCGAAACTTTTCCATTTGAAGTTAAATGCACTCCACCCCATCGACAAAATGGTAAGTTTCTTATGCATCAAGCATCACTATAATTTCATATCCATTTTCTTTACCAACTTATTATACTGAAGTAGCGGTTCTACTTTTAATAAGTCTAAGATATCAAACAACTAAAAGATATTGGTTGAGTTTTTTCCATCTCACAAACCGTGGATTGCACATACTATTAGTTGTGCAATCTACGAATACCATAGATTGCACAACTAATAGCTATTTCTTTAAGTAATATCTGTTTTAATCTTCCTCTGTTAATTTCCATTTTTAGACATAGCTTCCTAGTGAGTTTAGAAAGAAGATGATGTAAACTTTTATTCGGACTTGGCATTAATTTAACGTTTAGTTCTCTTTCATTAATTGATTAAGAATGTTACAAGTTGATTTTTTAATTTTATTTCTAAGAGTCTGATATAACCGACCACCCATCAACTTAAAATGAGTGCACCATATCCCATATAGGTAACAGAAGTCTTCCAAAATCTTAGCTTTAGACAAAAGAGAAAACAAAGAATAAAAAATCATCCAAAGTAAAGCAATAACGACATTGACACCCCCAAGTCTCCTCTACAAGTCTCTCTCTCTCTCTTTTTTAAATCACTTCCTTAGCTCTCTCAACATAAACCAAACACAAAAGACACACTGTTCATAGATCTCAACAAATCATGTACTATCTCCCCACTTCTTGTCTGTTCTTGTTTTTCCTCTTCTCCTCTTTCCACCCTCTTCCTTATGCTTCAAGTAAACAAGAACTCGGGTGGTGCGAAGCTCAGTTTCAGTGTGGGGACATAACGGCTGGTTTCCCCTTCTCCGGTGGGAGTCGTCCCCAAATTTGCGGTCATCCATCGCTGGTGCTTCACTGCTTTAACAACAAGACCTCTATAATCATCTCAGACCATTTTTACAATGTTCTCCATATAGATCAAACATCTAACACTCTTAGACTCGCTAGAGCAGAGCTTGAAGGTTCTTTTTGCAACGCGACATACACAGCCACAACCTTGCCTTCCGATATTTTTGAGCTTTCGTCGACCTACACGAGCCTCACTGTTTTCTACCTCTGCGATCCTAAGCTTTCTTACCGTTCAAGTTATACATGTCCTGGTAGAGGCCTTATCTCAGTGTCTCAAAACCTTGATTACAAGTATTCCTGCCAAGACAGTTTCACAATTAACGTTCCAAAGAGCTTTGTTCCAGAAGAGAAAGAGTTGAATTTGAGAAAATTGGAAAAGGCTTTTCAAGAAGGGTTTGAAGTGAAGGTGAAGATTGATGAGAAAGCTTGTCAAAAATGTTCATCCTCTGGTGGAATCTGCGGCTTCGAAAATTCAACACAGATTTGCTGCAAGCAAGCCTCATCATCAGGATGCAATAAACTCCATCCACTACTTGATGGTAAGTTTCTTCTATATCGTTATCTTTTCATAGTAGGCAGTTTTTAAAAAATTTCTGAGCCCTAAACCCGTTACATCTCCATCAAACCGGGAACGTAGGGAACCAAATCTTTAGAAGAATCTAGATAATACCACTAGCCCAAGACCCACAGCTTAAATAAGCCTAGGATCAGCAACCATAAACTTCACTTGTTTGAATCTTCTTCTATCTCCAACAAATTAGCATTTAAATCACTCACTCTCTTTCACTAATTGATTTTTTTTTCTTCCACATTAGTCAGTTTCAATAGTAAATGATATTTGCCTTATTCCACACTCCAATTTTTTTTCTACAATATCTTTAAATTCTTTCAAACTGAAAAACAATGGACCAAAACTAGGACATGGTTTTTGTGCTGGTCAATTTATGTATAAAAGGGTCCTACCCTTATGATATTCTTTTTCCATTAGGTTCTTTCTTAGAAAATTCCAAGCACCAGACTTTTAAAGTCGTTGTTCAGTAAAAAAACAAAAAAAATAATGGAAAAATAATAATATAAAGAAGAATCCATCTTTGTATAGTCCAAGGTGTGAATTTGTTTATATTCTATAAACAACAAAGATAAAAACTCGTTTTAAATCACTATTCCCTCTCATTATCGTTTACCAAAATACCATTCAAAGTCTTCGTTGCAAGCCACCTAATTCCAAAGAAACTTCGATTTAGAAAAATACTCCAAACATGTTCCAGAAAGAAACATTAAATAAATATTTAAAGTGGAGGTTGGTCCAAAAGGACCAAACATGTTCCTTTAGTTCAACTCTTACAAAACCAAGACATTTTCCAATTGCTTCATCTCTTCGTCTTCTTCTTCCTCTTCACCATTCTTTTTTCTTCACCTGCAAAACAATGATCAATTTGTCTTTTCTCCTGACAAAATCTATGTCCTATAGCTGCTTCATATGGATGCTCTTTGTCATCCCATCTTATGTTTTCTCAGCTGATGAGCTTCACAGACTCTGCAGTCCCTCGTTTACGTGTGGCAATCAGAGCGGTTTCCTGTACCCTTTCTGGATTGCTGGCAGAAAAGAATGCGGTCACCCTGACTTCGAGCTTGAGTGCGGCACAGGATTCCCAGAGCTTAGCATTTCCTCTGTGAATTTTAGAATCCTAGCGGCGAATTATGACTCTGGTATCATAAGACTCGCCAGATCAGATAAGATCGATGATCCATGTCTCCAAGGTTCCTTAACTACGTCATTCAACGAAACAATCCTTCCACTTGCTCCAACCACCGACCTGCTAACCATTTATTACGACTGTAGCCGAGACTTTTCATCGTTTGTTTCTACTTTTGTTAAAGACCTTGATTGTCCAGATGATGAGACTGATGATAGAGGAAATTACTATGTGACAAGAAACCTCTTGTCCCCTGTACTTCAAGGGATCAGTAATGCTTTAAACGACTTCAGGAGATTTTGCAGTAGAAACGTTAGTATTCCCGCATCTATAACCGCGCTGAGCACGCTAGAGAGTTCTCCAAGTACAGATAATCTAAAGAAGGCACTTGAAGATCGTTTCGAGCTTCAAGTTAACTCAGATTGTCGGACGTGCATAGACTCTAAGGGTGCTTGTGGATTTAGTCAAACCTCAAGTAAATTCGAATGCTATTATATAGAAAAGCCACAAACCCCTCAAGTAGATTCGTCTGCTAGAAACAAGGGTAATATTTCCTACATGTTCTAATTTCCTAATGGTTCTTCCACAAGAATCACCACTAGTCCCTTCCTTAAATCTACCTTTTGATTGGATCATCTACAGAAAATTCTTTTAGTTTCTGATAACTATATACAGAAACTCCCTCGAGTTTCAAGTTTTTCATTTCTAGTAAGATTCAAAGTTCTGTATTTAGTTCGAACTAACCTTTTTTTCTGGTGTCATTCCATAGATAAAGGCCTCTCTAATGGAGCAAAAGCAGGTATTTAGCCTTTCCCCGTTCTTTCGCAACACCCGATTTGATTACCATTGATGACAGCATATACTTATTATGAAAATTGTTTTTTGTTTTTCCTCTCTAGGCATTGCTGTTGCTTCTGTATCGGGTTTGGCCATTCTTATACTCGCAGGTGTGTTCTTATGCATCAGACGGAGAAGGAAGACTCAAGACGCTGAATACACAAACAAAAGCTTGCCCATAACATCATATTCGAGTAGAGAAACATCAAGAAATCCAACTTCCACAACAATCTCCTACAGTAGCAACCACTCTTTTCTTCCCTCAATCTCTAACCTCGCAAACGGAAGCGACTACTATGGTGTTCAAGTCTTCAGCTATGAAGAACTTGAAGAAGCAACTGAGAATTTCTCTAGAGAACTCGGAGATGGCGGCTTCGGTACTGTCTACTACGGTAAGGAATTCAACAATACATTTCAGTCTCCTTGAAACCTTTGAGTATTGATTTTTAACATTTCGCATTTCTCTAAAGGCGTGTTGAAAGATGGACGAGCTGTAGCAGTGAAACGACTCTACGAAAGATCACTAAAACGCGTAGAACAATTCAAGAACGAAATCGAAATCTTGAAGTCCCTAAAACATCCGAATCTCGTGATCCTCTACGGATGCACATCGAGACACAGCAGAGAGCTATTACTCGTCTACGAATACATCTCAAACGGAACTCTAGCAGAACATCTCCACGGCAACCGCGCAGAAACTCGTCCTCTCTGCTGGTCAACCCGATTAAACATCGCAATCCAAACCGCAAGTGCATTATCCTACCTCCACAAATCAGGTAAACAAAGATAATAACCAAAACAAACATCCGAATTCGCAGAATTTCACAATTCTCACAATGTGATTCCTCTGTTTTACAGAAGTCATACACAGAGATGTCAAAACTACTAACATTCTCTTAGACGATAACTACCAAGTCAAAGTCGCCGATTTCGGACTTTCGCGGTTGTTTCCAATGGATCAAACACACATATCAACAGCACCACAAGGCACACCAGGCTACGTAGACCCAGAGTATTACCAATGCTACAGTTTAAACGAGAAGAGCGACGTCTATAGCTTCGGAGTCGTATTAAGCGAACTAATCTCATCAAAAGAAGCAGTAGACATCACTCGTCACCGTCACGATATCAACCTAGCGAACATGGCTGTATCCAAAATCCAGAACAATGCATTACACGAGCTAGTAGATTCGAGTTTAGGATTCGATAATGATCCAGAAGTTAGGAGGAAGATGATGTCGGTGGCGGAATTAGCGTTTAGATGTTTGCAACAAGAGAGAGAAGTTAGACCTTCGATGGATGAGATTGTGGAGATTTTGAGAGGGGTTAAGGAGGAAGAGGAGAAGCGTGTGTTGGTGAAGTCGCCGGATGTTGTGGATATTGAATGTGGTGGTGGTGATGATGTTGGATTGTTGAGGAATAGTGTTCCGCCGCCGATTTCGCCGGAGACTGATAAGTGGACGAGTAGTTCTGATACGGCGGCGAGTTTGTAGTTAGGGTCCTTGTTTTAAAAATCGCTAGGCGCTAGTCGGGCGCTCGGCATGGGCCTAGCGATTAATCGGAAAATCGGATTAAAATCGGGGATTAATCGGGGATTAGTTTTAGGGTTATTTTAATATTTTTAAAATATATTAATCCAATATTGTAAAAATTTATGATTTTTATTACAAATTTATGATTTTTATTAAAATTTGAACACAAGTTATTGTAAAACATCACAAACTCTCCATTCAAATGATTGAATAACAAAAATAAAAAGTTTTTTTATACTTGCAATCTAAAAAATAATCGGGGTATATAAGATTAGGCGGAAAGTAATCGGATTAGGCGGAGAATAATCGGGTTACTGATTTTTTAGGGGATTAGTCATTAATCGAGGCGGATAGGGTGGGCCTAGCGATTAAGCGGGGAGTAATCGGGGCTAGGCGGGGATTTTTAGAACAGGGGTTAGGGTTCGTTGGTGACATCACTGTAATGTTTTTTTTTTTTGTAAAATTTATTATTGTTTTGTTTTGGCGAGACTGTATTTAAATGGACCAATTAAAATGACATTACTATTACTATATAACATACTGTTTCATATTACTCGGTACTCACTACATAATCTCCGTTAACTCTATTTCTTATTCTAAATTTGGAGTATTCTAAAAATAGAACAAAGTTTACTCTAATAGTTGGTTCTATTATTTTATACATAATCTTTTATTTTTAAAGTTTGCGAATTCCATTCATTTAATTTATTTTTAAAAATATCTAATATTAAAAATTAAATTTTATTACAACACATAAATAGAAGATCGAGTGATTAATATATTTTTATTTAAGTATCATCATTAATTGATCCGGAAGCGACCTACCGGATTATTAAATCACTAGTTTATGATGTGTTAAGTTTATTTTAATGACAAGTTTAATCTTTTTATGTACTTTTAGTTTATTATTTGTGATTACAATATTTTCTAATTTAATATTTGTTATTGTTATATTCTAAATTTCAATTAATTTAGTAACTATGATTTTTAATATAAAATTATGTATGCATGTAATTTGATTATATAATTTTGTTTAGGTATAAAATGATACTATATTAAAATTGAGTGAGTATTTTGTAAATAAAAAAATTGTGCTATAAAAATAAAGATATGAATAGTATTGCTCCAAATATAGAGTTTGCAAGATATAGAACATCATTGGAAATGCCAGTGTGCAAATGTGTAACGATCGTAACCTTTTACTACGTTGAGCTTGTTAGCCTATCTTACAACATGCATTTATTGAAAGAGATAATTGGGTGAGAGACACTGTTTTTTGAGTTATTTAAATTTTCGGTATTAGGCCATATGACTCAAGACAATGATAACAATTAGCCATCCTTTTTCCCGACTTTAGCCCCACGCACCTCTCTCATTCTCATGGCCCCACGCACCTCTTTCCTTCCAATGTTCATCTCTCTCTCAACTCTGTTCTAATATTCGAATTGATAAGAAAAACAGTAGTTTTGTGTTTATTATTCACACCGCCATTGTTTATTCATCGGAAAAGATAACTTTCACGATACAAATAAGAATCTAAAACATTGTTTGGATCTTCACAAATAGATCTACAAAGAATAGATGCAGATCTTATGTTTATATCTCTATCAACTCTTTTCTAATTCATTCAAACCGATAAGAAAAACAGCGTCGTGTTTATTATGTTTATATGCTTGAAATGCAGTGCAAATTTTTGCTAGGGACGCAGCACCGGTGGTTGATGACACATACCTCGAAGGTAACATAGCCAATGTAACATAGAGCTCTACGTTTGCAAATAATGAGTCTTATCCAATTGTGAATATCCATGTATTAACTTGGATTGCTAAAACATGAATAGGTGGAGACAGAGCAAGGTTGGTCTTGCTGGATGTGGATTACGAGGGGAATGAACAGTTAATGGATCCGCAAGAACACTTATGAACATGCAAACACGAAAGTATAGATCTATGCAGATTTGTGAATGTCCAAACCGGATCTAATAAAATAGGTAAAGACGTAAGTGGATCTGGGAAGAAGAAACGACCAATAGAGATAGCTAGAGTTTTTTTTGCAAATGATGAAGAAACAGTAGATTTAAAACCAACGACGGTGACTAAGAGCATAGGCTATGCATGAAATCAATCGAAACATGTTTTTCTGGAAAAAAAAATCGAATTTAATCAAAAATTCTCAACTAGTTAATGAATTAATATTTATCTATAAATTTAGATACATGTTCATATATTTTCATAGAGTCATATATCTTATGTAAATTTAGTATATTAGACCTCTATGTGTTTATATAAATGTTCATTCAGTTTTTGTCAAGCGACATTTGTTTAGATATACAGGTACATCCCTTTTTAACTTCTATAAACTGCGGTTATAGATAACTATATTTATAAATGCATGTATACCTTATGTACAACTACATATTCAATTAGTTTTACTCATGTTGTTAACTATGTAAACCCTTTTGTTCGATTTCAAATCCCATCCTCCTCAAACTAGAGACACATGCATTTATTAACTATCAGCTCGTTTTGACTTTTGCCGAATAACTATCAGTTCACTCTGACGCATTAAAACCAAGTCAGAATATTCTTTCGGTTGCTCCTAGAGGCATCTCTCCTCCACCCACACGCATACGTTCCACGCCTCCTGGTTATTTTGTAAATAACTTCTAAAGCCAACCCCTTTCTAACTCTTGATAATACCTCGTCGCCGACAATTTCTGATAATACCGATTCCCTAATTTGTGTTCCCAGCGCAAATTCACTCTTATTGAAATGAATCAATGATACACTAAAAACATGAAACTATATTATATTGTTGGAGTTTCTCCAAATTTTGTGGACGGTGAAATCTGGCTAAAGAGCTATAATTCTGAAATGTATTTAACAACAACGTTTACCATTTGTGTATCCCGTACGTACATTAATACATTTTTTTTGTTTTTAATTGTGTTAAAGAACTTTAATTGGACCGGCTATTACGCATAGTCCATATATTGTTTCCGGTTGACCACAGACATAGTCATAATCTAAATGGTCAAAATGGTCAACACCAAAATAGCCTGCGATGAAAAGGAAATTGGACCAATTGATCGGTTGATAGTCCAAATAAAATTAATTTTGGGATTGTCTCTATATAAAAAAAATTCCCTTAAATCTCTTGACTTTCTGCATCTTCTTCCCTCGAAGCTTCACATTTATTTTTTTTGAACCTGTCTATCAAAACAGATCAAACATTAGCTTTCTTTTTCACGATTTACGAATTCTTGTTGGAAGTAAATCTAAAAATCAAATTGTCAAAGAATAAAATGGCAAAGCCGTAGAGCATTTACAGCAGTTGAACGAAAAACCGTCTAATCTCGGTGCAAGATAACCAAGAGTGCTCTCTCCACGATTTACTATGCTCTTAATTGAATTGTGCACTGAATTCAAAAGAGATGAAACATCCAAACTCAAAATCAAAAACTAAAAAAAGGAAAGTAGTGGAGAGATGTGTTTTTCGATCATAAAAAAAACATGGATAAATCATCACAAAATTTGGACACATACTGAAGAGACTTAGTTATGAAAGGACAAACAATTCTCAATCAATTTCAGCCATGAAAGCTCGGGGTTTCTTCCCACAAACTAATTCGAGAATGACAAGATAGGTTCATCTAATTACATCGTTCTCTCTTAGAGTTGGTTTGAATATTTGATTCTAGTTTTTAGTCTAACCTTCGAACTAATTCTCATGACCAAATTGGCAGTCCTAATTATGTTCAACATCAAGCATCACTCCAAAAAACATCGATAATATAACAATGTTCTAAATACATAACCAAATCTTTTCTTTATCCATGTTCTATATGTTTCAATTGGATTTTAAATCTAATGACCAGTGTTAATTTTGTTTTCCATTATTTGATTCGTACTTATCTCTTGCTCACTAGTTTTTTTTTTTATAATCTTCTACATACACACTATTTTAATATTTTTAGAACAATCAGTCATTTATTGTTTCAAAACTATATACTATATGAATACAAAAAGAAAAAATTCGCTGGCATCTTAAATATTATCAGCGAAAAGTATACGACACTCATTCTAACAAGCCACGTGTAACCTATCTTCTTCTAGAATGGTGCCAATCCTAGTCACCACCTTATTCCTTTTAACCCTCCACTATCATCTCTTCTCACACCAAGCAAAGAATCACCCAAATCGTAACAAAATCAATGTCTCTGCTAAATCAATAAACACAAAACCAAAATGTCTCTGCAAAAATTCAAGCTTCTCGCTACTCATTGCAGCACCGTCGCTGAGAGTCCAACGCGTAGTCCAGTCATCCACCTCCGCCGTCGTAAAACGCTGCGTTTGTTACTTACTCGATCATCAGATCGATGGAGATTACCTGAGATTCAGAACAACGTAGATGAATCGAAGAAATCGGATAAGAGAGATAAGATCCGATCTCGTCGGAAGCTTAGAGAGCTTTTTGTTTCGTCGCCACCGTTTGAGGAAAGTGGCGGCGGCGGTGATGAGAAGGCGATGAAGATGGAGGTGGAGGTGGAGATGGAGAGGGATGTAGCGGTTAACGGCGTTAATAATAACGGAGGTTTTGGTGAAGAGATAACGGCTCGGCGTGTGGGCTTTAATGGGTCTGTTAGGCCCATGTCATCTGTTACACTTCGATGTAGGTTACTTCGACGAGCTTGGCGTCCTGTACTTGTAACGATTCCTGAACAATAAAAACTCTGAAACAAATAAATCTATATATACATTTTTGAATGTTTAAATTTTGATTCATAGGTAAATTTGTTTTTCTTAAGAGTTTAATCCACTTCTGATTTTTTTTTTTCGGAATTTGGTTGTGATTAGTACTATTCCTTGAAGTAGAATTATCTCGATTTTTATGTTTAAGGAGGTGGAGATGGTTCTAGAGAATTTCTAGAATTTTTAAGGAGGTTGACTAAAAAACCAGTGGCTTTTTTTTTGTTAATTATGAGACCTTTTTATTAATTTTGAGGCTTATCTCTACAATAATTAATTGAGAAGTAGAAACGCACCATATTCAAAGTTAGGGCATTGGAGGCCTGTGGTTAAAAGTTGGAATGATTTGTCCTAAACACCCTTAATGAATTGTTCTTCTCGAAATTTCTTCTTCTTCGTAATTAGGGGTATATAAGTCTAATCGTGTGTTGATCTCTATACTAATGTCCTAAACACCCTCGATACGAAATTTTTTGTTCTTAATTATTAGGGGTATATAAGTCTAATCGTGTTTTGAGATGATTAGTCTTAATCACCCTTAATGAATACACTATCAAATCCAGTTTTCTATTTTTTGGTGAGGGTAAAACAATAAAATCGTGTGAATTTTATTAAAATATGGAATATTTCGTTTTTTAATATTAAAATATAGAATATTTCGTTTTTAAATATTAAAATATAGAATATTTCGTTTTTTAATTTTTATAAAAATTTAAGATAGATACTAAAATATATTACGAATATTTTTATCAAGAAATTTTCCAATTTTAAAAAATAAATTTTTAGAGATAATTATGACGGTGTGCCCTAGATATTAAACTATAAATATAGAGCCGCAACCACACCATTAGAACTCAGATTCGTTAGCCTAAACATATCGTTTTGATATTATAGCTTTTTTTTTGTTGCTTTGGTTCTTTTATGGATCGATTTATTTTGCGTTATTATTTTTTACCTTTTCTTGAGGTTATATTTGTATTGTTATTATCTTGGTCTATGAATTATCAAGATTGTTATTGTTTTGCTGATTTGTATCGTGTGAATTATGTTTTAGGTAACCGCTCATGGGAGTTTCTATCAAGAGATTGAATGAACGAGTTGATGAAGACATGCCTCTTCATTAAATTCATTAACAAACTTTTTACATCAATCGTGAGTCCTCTTTAATTTTAGTTAGCGCTTCTCTTATGTCTCTTTGTAAATTACTTACAATTTTATAATTTGTGTTGGTTTAATTATTGATAGTTGTCTCTCATCGGATCTGATGTAAAATAATTTTTTACCATGCACTACATAACGAAATAATTTTTTTTTTGTCAATGTTACTCATAATTTTTGTGTTTTTGAAGGCGGAGCATTGCGCTGATGCGAAAGTGATTTACAAGTTTTTGGAGGTCAATGAGATTGATAAGACACATGCTGTCTACTACATAGCTTATGCTTTGCACATGGGAGTTTAAGAATAAGGTGAAAACTGCTAAGGAGATCTTCAATCTCGGAATCTCTAGGTAATATTTATTACGAATGAATAGACATGTAATCATATATACTTTCATGTTTCTGCTCCTTACATTATAGACCCTTATAAATTTACTGATTTTCTTTGCTTCCATCTACACAGCTTACCAGAGAGACTCATAATTTTCTCAGATTTTGTTTTGCTTCTTCTTTTTCTAATTAGCATATTTCTCTCGATCGATATTTTATGACGGAAGATGATTTGAAGCAATAATTTTCCAATTCTCTTGATTTATAGGGTTTTTAGATTTCACTATTATAAGTTTTTGCTTTGTTTCGCATATTTCTCTCGATTGTAATCATTCAAGATTGAGGAAGATTTGTAGCGATTATTACTGTAAGAATTCTTCAAATCCTCTTGATTTCTAGGATTTCTAAATTTCACTATTATAATGTTTTCGTTTTTTCTTTTGGTTTTTATTTTTTCGTTTTGAAGAGGCTTTTGATATTTGCACAACCGAAAAATTCGTGTTTCAAAGTTTTTTTTCTTCTGTGAATTACAAGTTCTTTCTTCTTCTTTTTTGTTGGTTTTAATTGATTTTGTTTTTGGTTCGTGTTTTTTTTTTTTTTCTGTAGCGCTTTGCATAATTTGATAAGCATGAAATTGTTGCGATCAGTTGTGGTTTATTGCTTGTGTTTTTCTGTTTTGTTTGATTTCTTTCTTATTTTGTTTTTCATTCGAACCCAAGAGAGATCATAGGCAGACACTCAATTATTAGTGTTTTGTTAGAATCTTTCTTTGGCACATTGTCCCGTCGAGTTTGGACCCATGGCTTATGGGAAATTTTGACCTGAGACTGAAAACCGATCCTTTATCCACGGCTTATTATTTCGACATATATACTTGGGATTGGTTTCAGTTTACTGGTCAAAGATCAAGTTACCCACGGCTTAAAACATCATCAGTCTTTAGATAGAGACTGAGATTCGGAAAACGAATTATTTAGACAAAATATTGGATTGGGTTATGTTTGGTGGAAGGAAAATGGTACCCACGGCTTCAAACATTAGTCTTTAGACTGAGGCTGATTCGACCATTGATCCTTCATGGTACCCACGGCTTGAAAATCTCTAGACATGGATCATGTTCGTTTTGTTCTTTCAGTTTTTAGACAAAGAGACAGTATCCATGGCTTAAACATCATCAGTCTTTAGACCAGAGACTGAGATTGGCTTATGTTTGGTAGAAGGAAAATGGTACCCACGGCTTAGAACATTAGTCTTTAGACAGAGACTGAGATTGGCTTATGTTTGGTAGAAGGAAAATGGTACCCACAGCTTAAAACATTAGTCTTTAGACAGAGAATGAGATTTACTTATGTTTGGTGGAAGGAAAATGGTACCCACGGCTCAAAACATTAGTCTCTTTATGTTCGTAAGGAGAGAACTAAGATTTCCAGTTTGATTAAACGAAAACATATTAAGAAATGGCAGATGGAAATCACATATATGGTAAAGCTAACTTAATATTTAATTCATCAGTTACCTTCTCATTAGTGACTGAAATCTCTCTTCTGGGTTCTACTCTTTGCATGGTATTGTGGAAAACAAGTACGTAACAAAACTAAGAGTTGCCAGAACTAAGAGTTGATTTGTATGGTTGTTGCTAGAACCAGTTCTTGGTTCATATAACTTTCTCCTTGCATTTAAATTGTTTCCATTTTCTTAAACTTAGTGATCGCGTTGCCAGAACTAAGAGTTGATTCGTATTATTAACACTGCTCATGCCGCATATATGTAAATTAGATCACTTTTTAGCTTTGTTTTGAATTATTTTGGAATATGATTTCTATATAGATAAACGTGTGTTTATTTTGCTGATGATGAGTTTGGCTATAACCATGATAAATACAAAGAAAGAGCATAATTGACGGCTTTCTATAGTCTTATGAAAGAGATCTTGATAAACGTATAAATCGTTTGCTGATTGAAGAGTTTTCCTATAACCATTATAACAAAAAAAGGGGCAAAATTGACGGTTTTCTGCAGTTCGATGAAAGAGATCTTGATAAACGTAGAAATTATTTACTGATTGATGAGTTTGGCTATAACCATGATAACATAACAAAAGGAGCAGAAATGATTGTTTTCTACAGTGTAATGAAAGAGCTCTTGATAAACGTATAAATTATTTGCTCATTAATGAGTTTGGCTATAACAATGATAACTGAACAACATAGACAAAATGGAGGGTTTTTTGTAGTCCGATGAAAGAGATCTTGATTAACATAGAAATTATTTGCTGATTGATGAGTTGGGCTATAACAATTATAACGAAAAGAATGAGCAAGATTGATGGTTTTCTGTAGGCTCACGAAAAAGCTCTTGATAAACTTAGAAATCTTTTGCTGATGATGAGTTTGGCTATAACCATAATAAATACAAAGAAGGAGCAAAATTGACGGCTTTCTATAGTCTTATGAAAGAGATCTTGATAAACGTATAAATCGTTTGCCGATTGAAGAGTTATCCTATAACCATTATAACAAAAAAGGGGCAAAATTGACGGTTTTCTGCAGTTCGATGAAAGAGATCTTGATAAACGTAGAAATCATTTGCTGATTGATGAGTTTGGCTATAACCATGATAACATAACAAAAGGAGCAGAAGTGACTGTTTTCTACAGTGTAATGAAAGAGCTCTTGATAAACGTATAAATTGTTTTCTCATTAATGAGTTTGGCTATAACAATAAAAACTGAACAACATAGACAAAATGGACGGTTTTTTGTAGTCCGATGAAAGAGATCTTTATTAACATAGAAATTATTTGTTGATTGATGAGTTGGGCTATAACAATGATAACGAAAAGAATGAGCAAGATTGATGGTTTTCAGTAGACTCACGAAAAAGCTCTTGATAAACTTAGAAATCTTTTGCTGATGTTGAGTATGGCTATAACCATGATAAATACAAAGAAGGAGCAAAATAGACGGCTTTCTATAGTCTTATGAAAGAGATCTTGATAAACGTAAAAATCAGTAATTAGCTGATTGGAGAGTTTTGCAATAACCATTATAACCGAAAATGAGCAAAATTGAAGGTTTTCTGCAGCCTGATGAAAGAGCTCTTGATTAACTTAGAAATTATTTGCTGATTGATGAGTCTGGTTATAGCCATGATAACAAAAAAATAGGAGCAAAATTGACAGTTTTCTACTGTCTAATGAAAGAGCTCTTGATAAACGTATAAATCATTTGCTGATTGATGAGTTTGGCTATAATAATGATAACAATAAAAGAGAGCAAAATAGACACTTTTCTACAGCCTGATGAAAGAGCTCTTGATAATTGTAGAAATCATTTGCCGATTGATGAGTTGGCTATAACCTTGATTACAAAAAAAGGAGCAAAATTGACGGTTTCTTTTAGCCTCGAGAAAGAAATATTGATAAACGTAGAAATTATTTTCTGATTTATGCGTTTGGCTATAACCATGATAAAAAAAAAACAAGAGGAGCAAAGTTGACTGTTTTCTGCAACTTCATGAAAAAAACTCTTGATAAATGT